TGGTAACGTAACAACGACGTCACCTTTCCTTCACATTTCCCTTAAAGAAATAAAATGCTCACTGGGTAGGGATTTACTCGAGCGTGGGGACCTATTGTATCGTGAAAACTAGATGCTGAAAAGAAAAAAAAAGTTATAAATATGGATATGTATTTTACTGGTGGAGAAAGCGTGTACAGGTTTTTAAGCGTTTTTCTGATAACGGAGGAATTTTAATCTACCTGTTTGGATGGTAGGGGTGACCATATGAAAGGGTGAAAAATACAAAAGGAAAAAAATTATTCGAGCGCGTTAGATATTCCAGAGGGATGTTAACTGAACTATAGTGAAGCTTCTATTAAAAAGACTGACGATTTAGACGTAACCAAAAGCCATGGCAGGTTTTTTAAAAATACATCATTTTCAGCACCATACTTTATTGATGATTTTAGTTGCTTCGGCTTGTAGGGATCGGCAAATTATTTTATTCCCGTGATGCTTCAAAGATTTACTTTAAAATAAAAAAAAATCGAAATAAAAATTGTGTGTGCACTATGTGCGAATATTTGAAGTGCAACTTCTTCTTACTTTTGTCTGTCTATCTGAGGACTCTATTCGGGTTCCTATATCCGCATGCCGAGTTTGGTACCAATCGACCCATAATTAAGAGAAAGATCCTGATGATTTCATCAATTTAGTGGCATCGGTTCGAAACGTCGAGGACATCATCTTGTAGCCCGTCCTCAATTATGCCGAAATCGTCACATTTTTCTTCAACATCGAATCGTTAGTCCCACCCTGATGAAGATGTAAACGAAACGTCGGCGTCGTGTCCAACTTGCAAATATTCCTAAATGGCCAACAATATTCACACTACCCGTAACGTCGCCGTCGCGTCGTGGCAACGTCAATCTCCCATTTACTTCATGTTTTCTGTCTAGACCAAAATGACTAAAGAATCGAAGGACAAATAACACCCGAGAGCAAATGCCATCAAACAGTGCCGTGGCACATATTTTTCTTAACTTAGCTATTTGAAGAGATATTTATATATTTCGATAAATGTTTTGAGAACGCCTATGGTGGTATCAAACTAATTGATTACAAAAAAAAAACGTGTTAAAATGTTAATCAAAGGTACAAAACTAGTATCGACGTATAGCACACATCAAGTTCATATAATATCAGAAAAATAATTATCGAATTCAATAAGAAAACTAAGAAAACGCTAAAAAAGTGGAGTGGACTGTTTATTTACTTATGAAACGTTCTCCTGGTTCTCCGAACTCCTGGTTCTTTGTTATCGCTGAGGCTTACTACACTTACTACACTTGAAAGCTGAACAACTAATCACCATTGTAATAAAGTTTATATAAAGTTTACTATACACAAACTATTAAAAATCTCTAAAATTGTCGCTGATGACCAGCTGATGACTCATTCGTTGCCACCAACAAAATGGTGTCTAACTCTAACGTCACAAATTCTGCTGCAGCCCGTATATGGGCGTTACGTGTCCTTGTATTCTTTAGTCATTGGTCTAGACGGTAAGTGGCTGATACAAATGGCGACACGACGCACAGTGGATCGACGCAATGCAATTTGCTAGACATTCAGCAATTATGCAAAATTTCTAACTTAAGACATTTTTGTTGAATAAATGTGTTCTAAAATCTTCAAATTTGTTAAGAATAGTCATAACTTTATTATAGATAACTTACTGAATAGTGCAGGGGTGTTTTTCCAGAATATATATTTTATTTGAATTTCCGTATTAAATTGACTATTACAAATTAAACTGCATAATTTCGTACTTATTCCAAAACTTAATGAATTTTTTATCATATTTTTATTTTACATGAATTATGACCTTGCGATTTGTCTAGTTCTTTAATACCGACATGTATTAAATAACAATAATTTTCAAATTATAATATAGTGTATCACAAAAAATTAATTTTTAAACAAAATTTTCCATAGCCATCTTTGCTGCAAGCGGCTGCAATAAAACTTCGTATTCATAAGTTTAGCATAAAATAGAGAAGTCATACCCGCCAACAAATAATCGGGACTCGGTGGGACTTTTTGATAATTACGAAAGAAAGACGCAAACTATAATAAATTTCGCTGAAAAATGTATATTTTCACGGAGAATAGAGTTAAATAAACACCCAAGTGTTTCAAAATTTCTTTTAAATTATTCGTTCAAATATGGGCTAAAACTTTTGTATGGGGTACATGAATTAAGTCATTTATTTAATCCATAATTTGCTCTATAAATTTCCCACATATTAAATATCTTTAATAAGAAACGCAAATATTATATACCATAATATATAGCTTTGGGTGAATTTTTCAATAAAATTCGATTTTAGTTGATTAAATTATGGCTTTTTAAATATGTATTTGAAGAAATTTGTATTAAAAGTTTAAATACGATTTTAAGTGTTATGTCCAGCATCAAACATACGATCGTTCTACTGTGCGACGTGACGGTGGTGAGACGTTATAGTGGGAATCGCACCTAAATAGTCAGATTATTTAAATGCATAGGTACTTTTCTGCATGTAATTAACTCACCTTGCCTTAATCTGTCGCGCTTTTTTCTAACGATCATTTTTTTACTATTCTCATCGGGAGCTCTACACTCACGTCATTGTAAAAAGGTTCATGTATTAACAGGGTGCAAGGTTTCTTCCCTCATATATTGTTCTGCCACGCTAGAGTAATTCGCAAAATACTCCATTGGGCTTCCCTGCTATAATAAAAAAAACAGTTTATAATGTCTAAAGAATATGATTCAATTTATTTTATTTGTTTTTTTCCTTCAAAAGACGTAGACTTTTTGACACTAAATCAAAGTATATCATAATCTACGACAGAGATCTGTTTGATAAAGATTCTTTCTACATATGGAAACGTATCATCAACGTCATTTTCATCAAACTGTACAAAAGTAGAAAAAATGTTCAGCACCATAAAAACTCCATTTGGTTTGAAATTACTACAGTCCCGTATCCGATAAATGTCGAAGGAATTTTGGTACCAAGACGTTTAGATATATGGACAGGCAGCAAATTTAGAAAAGGTTAAACAAACGTACAATCTGACAAACGGATCTGAAACAACGGGGCAACGGTGAGGGGATCGCAATTTTCTAAAATCATGACCGAGTTCATTCATAAAATATCCACGAGCGTGCGGTGTTTTATAAAAATATATCAGGAATTTTTATAATATTTTCCAGTAAAGTTTATAATAATATTTTACTATAAATGTACCTACATTTTGTTTAGTCATTTGCCAAATATAGTAATTTGTTAAAACGCATGTACTAATTACAATAAACACAAATCAAGTTAAAGATATAAAATACAATACAATAACCCCGCCACTGGATTTTTCAATAGTAGAGACTGTTTCTACTATTCCTAGAGAGGGGCATAAAGTTGGGGGTAATGGCAGCAAGACGTGCGAGGATCTTGACCAATCAGACTGGTTGAATCCGGGATGCCATGATGAATTTTGTCAGCGTTGCCAGCTTACCCTAAGCGGACATTATCTTAAGGAAATAGGTACTTGACCTTTTATAATAGGCAGAATGAACGAAAACTGTTAATTAGATAAATATACATTATTACAATAAGAACTACGTCAACATATTAGCATATATATATAATTATGTATGATGAAATGAACTAAAATATAGTCAATTTATAGGTAATATCGAGCAACTTTGCTTTTCTATAATTAAACGTGACAACATCGACTTTTTTTGCCCGAATTCCTTCCGCTGTTTTAGATTCGTTTGTCAGATAATAGTGTGTTTTCATGAGTCATGTGAACTGATCAAGTCACAGGAATTCAATTTATTTTATTGACGATTTCAAATAATTCATATTAAAAAAATGGCATGTTCTATTCGAAGTAAAAATGACTTTTTGTGTCTCGTTTATATGTCAAACGTACAGCCAAGGTACAGCCTCGCCACAAAAAGTGTTATTTTTACTCCTAATAAAACAATATAGTATTTTTGTATTTGTGGGGTCTCAAAACGTTGAGAAACGTGTTTTTAGCCATGGTCAAATTTCGCGCTAAACCAATATTTTTTTCTTATCATAAATTATGAAAAATAAAAAGATGTAGAGATGACAACAATCGACTGTATCATTTAATATGCCGTATTTAGCGCGCCTGACGAGCGTTGGACGAGACTGGCAAGGCTTTCGGGATGTTCCACATTAAGGTGCGTTCACACCGGCCGCGCCGCACAAAACATTTTTTTAACATGTACTTTTGAAGTGTATTTTTTTAGCACACCCAAAAGTATATGCTAAAAAAAATGATTTGTGCGGCGGGGCGCGGACCGGCGCCGGTTTGAACGCACATTTAGCCAGACTATATTTGCATCTGTAATTATAATAGAAACTATCACTTGAAAAAATGTTAGGACTGCGAAAATAAGAGCAATGATTTCAATAATTTTTATCCAATTTTTTACCTGCCAGACATATTACCCATTCTCACAAATTAGCCAGACTATGTTTTTACCTTAACTGCACAAGATCTCTCACTAATAGAACTACCGTATGATCGAATAAAAACGGCGTCAGCGATGGCTATGAAATGACGATCGATGACATTTCCCATATAATTTTACATATAAAATGACAGCGATCTTCATTTCATAGCCATCGCTGACGCCGTTTTTATTCAATTATACGGTATTTTTATACATAAAACTTGCTTAGGATACCATACCGAATAATTCTATCGGTGTTTGCTTGAGTTTACATTATTACATTCATGCTAAATGAATTCAACTGACTTGATCAATTGACTTGATTCGTAAAAACGCGTTTTTATGATATTTATGATCTTACAGGAGCTGATTTATTCAAAGACAAAACTTTTAATCTGAAAAACCAAACGCTCAAAATAGTGACGTTTGCTCACACACCTGGAACTGTCAAAAGTAACGAGACTATAAACGACAAAACCAGAGCGGCTTTGGTATCTCCCGATTATAAAGTGTTCTCTGGTACTGAAGTTGAAGTACTTACTATTTTAACTATTTTTCGGCAGCGAAAATTTCTTATTAAGCAATCTTTTTCAGATTGTAAAAACAATAGCTTCTTTTATGAATTTTCACTGTGAGATTTATGAAACTGCAGATGCAGATGTTGAATTATGGGGAAATAAAGTACATGAGAGCAACTATACTGGATTATTAGGTACAATAGAAATCAATAAAAGTTGGCGTACATGTCATCAAAAGCATTAAAACAGTTACCAAATTAGAATTTCTAAAGCCAGTATTACACTATCAAATTTCTTTGTTAAAGATCTTTTATAAAAGATATTTGATAAAAAATTTGACATTGTTATTATGCAATATTTTATAAAACCACACATATTACCTCGCGAATTGTGAGTTTTATTTCTTATTTGTTTTATGAAATTTACGTGTCTAAAATTGAAGTGAAATATCCGTGACAAAAGTACGAACTTTATTTTACTTTTGTCAAAAGTCAAAGTAAAAAAATGTAACCGTGGCAACATTGCGATGTGCATTCGTCAAATATTTTGATGGCGTGCGCGCCAACTTTTATTGATTTTACTCTAGAAAATGTGATTCCTATCCCCGCGGATTGTGAATTTTATTTTTTATTTGTCATAAAATTTACGTGTCTAAAATTGAAATGAAAAATCGGTGACAAAAGTACGAATTTTCTTTTACTTTTGTCAAAAGTCAAAGTAAAAAAATGTAACCGTGGCAACATTGCGATGTGCATTCGTCAAATATTGTGATGACGTGCGCGCCAACTTTAATTGATTTTACTATATAAAATGTAATTCATATCCTCGCGAATTGTGAATTCGTCAAATATTTTGATGACGTTCCCGCCAAATTTTATTGATTTTACTATATAAAATGCGATTCATATCCACGCGAATTGTGAATTCTATTTTTCATTTGTCTTATGAAATTTACGTGTCTACAATTGAAGTGAAAAATCGGTGACAAAAGCACGAATTTCATTTGACTCTTGTCAAAAGTCAAAGTAAAAAAGTATCCGTGGCTACATTGCGATGTGCATTCGTCAAATATTTTGATGACGTGTACGCCAACTTTTATTGATTTATTATATAAAATGTCGTTCAGATACTCATAAATTGTGAATTTTCTTTTTTTTTGCCTTACGAAATTCAATATTTCAGGTGAAATGAATGATGGTACAGCTGACATCGCTTTAGGTGATCTTTACTACATTCCATTCATGCTGGACATCATGGACCTGAGCATTCCCTACAACACAGAGTGTTTAACGTTTTTAACACCCGAATCTTTAACTGATATATCATGGAAAACCCTTATACTCCCTTTCTCGTAAGTAAACACATCTCTAAAAGGGATACACGATGCTTATGGGAGTTACAATGAGAAAAACCTTCAAAGACCACGCTCAAAAATTACTCTTTTTGGACTATAGAATCGTTAATCTAAGGCTACAAATTATGAAATCAAAAGTCACAATCCGACGCTGGTAATTCCAATCGCAAGCTACAAGTGCACAGATTATATGTGCACTCGAGCCAGCTTCATGCATCGAACATCGCTGGAGTGTAGCGGGGAACAAAGGGTGCGGAAGGCAATGGTCTAGCCAATCAGATCTAATATTCTGATGAGCAGTGAACGAACCGATCAGCGACGCGGTAGATTAAATCAGATGAAAGATGACAACATTCGTGGACATGTTATTGCGTTTATTAAAAATATAGCGATTGGGAGTTTTTAGTTAGAATTTAATAGATAGGTTTAAGCTTAACGCCAGATATGAAATTCACCAAAGTGTTTCTGTACTTGATGTCAAAAATACTATAGTATCGCCAAAGATTAGATTAAGATAATATTTGGTATTGTGTATGCCTAATTACTTAGAAGCTACTATTTTTTTTAAAGACTTAAACTTAATATTTTTTAGGTCTATCATGTGGGGATGTGTCGTTATTTGCTTACTTCTTTCTAGTTCAGTATTCTACGTTCTAGCTAAATTTCACTTACGTTTCAATCAAGCAGAAGAACAAGATAAAATACAAGCTTACGATAAAATGCTTAAAATGAAGACCCAAAAAAGAAAAGCGTTTGATAATCTCACTCTCTTTTCTCAAGTGAAAAATGTCGATCCTGATGTAAAATATGCTTTGTTAAAGGTAATTTTATCTTGGTAGTTGAAAATATGTTATTATTTTTAATCCTATATAAACTTCGTGGAGCTATAAGTAATTACAAAATATATACAAATACATACTCGTATAACAATAATTTGTTGTCCATATTCATATGATTTTCGGGACAAATTTTAAATTTGTTTTCTAAAGTGACATATACACAAATGAAAGACAAACGATCGATCAAGTCAGTGTCATAGTGTCAAATACAAAGATGGTGAGATAATTGAATGTCTCTGATATGTTTTCAACAAGAATGAAGCGAATTTACTTATCCACGTTAAGATTTAAGGTTTTATTCACGGGGGTGTCACTTGTATGGGAAAACAGGCAACAGTCAAATTTAAACGTGCCAGGACCAACGACAAAGAAAGCAACATCTGCCAGGCATTGGCTTTCTTTTTCACTCACATTGCTTAAATCATAATACCGCGGCCATTTTGCCAACAAAGAAGCTGATCGGGCTGTCCTGGCAAGTGATTTAAAACAATTTTGCTTTTTTACAATATTAAATTACCATTTGGATGTATTTAATGCGATTATTCAGTTAACTGGTAAGTCAGAAATTACATACAAATACTTTATTCGTAAATACAACTAAGATGTAAACGTATTTTTGTATTTTTAGATTTCAACTTTTGCAAAGACACGCCGATAGAACTTGCCTGGCAGCGTACCTGTTTAACTAAATGTATTATTTCCTGATAATAATATCAAAACACGTAAGTACCTCTATAATTTATGATGAAAAATGATTTTGATTATGTTTTATATTATTTAAATACTCTCTAACCTCAAATAATAGTAAGATCCTTGTTTATATCGCACAGCCCGTTCAAAACTGTATTGTCTTCAAAAAATGTTTACAAAACAAACAATTATTACAAAAACAATGTCCTTTTAATCTGATTTATACCTCAGAAGGATGCCAGTAAAATTTTATTAAATCAACATTATAGGTATTATTTGGCCATTAATATGCAAAAAGGAGCATATTGCCTTAACTTAAATTTTCTTTTACTTCTCCTGACAATGTTCTCTATATTCTCTATTTTGAGTTAGTAAACTTTTGAACGGGATGTGCGATATATAAAATACATAATATATCCAAGGGTATGATCTGATAAAAGTATTTTTTGATGCATTTTTTTGGTTGTTTATGCACGTTGGCTTGGTTTATGTTGAATGGCATGCATTGAGGCTAGATAGTGTTTCATTAGATCATTAAAGGAATTTAAATTAGCATATATTTTTTGTGATATTAGTGTGTTATCATGATACAGGTAGTTGTATCATAGTGTCATTATATACTTATGTATTATCAGTAAATAGATGATAACATACTACTAAAATGTCTTTTTAATAGTATGTTTGTCTTTCCAATTCACTAGTTATTTGCAAAATGTATTTTGAACTAATTTAAGTCATTAATTGATCATCTTTCTTTTTCAGGTTCCGGGATGTTCTTTTTCATTTTTAAAAAAATATATATATTTCAATATTATTGTAATATAAATCGCAGCTCTAAAAAATAAATGATATTGTTTACTAATGTGTAATTTATTTACTATGAATTTTCTCTGAAAATAATAAACCTTTAATAATATCATTGATTTGCCGTGTAAAGTTAATAGACATATTTTTTAATACATTAAATTATATTAAAGTAATAAAAAATATGTTTATTAACTTTAAACAGTAAGTCAGTGATTCTTATAAAAATATTTTTTTAAAAATTTCCCCACTTTTAAGCCCCGCCCCTCCAATTCCCCTCAATTTAGCTAGTACTGCCAGGCGACACCAGGTGGCGTCTGTTTCCATTTTTTAACATGAAGTTAGCATTTCTTTAATGTACCTATTCTCTGGTTTTATTTGTTATATTTTAGGATCAGTATGTGGTAAATCAGGAAAAGGATGGATTATATCAGTTTTCTGAACCTGTCAATTCAGTTCTGTATACTTATAGCATGTTGCTGTTGGGTAAATAACTTTACTAATTCGACAAAATATTAAATCACTTCCTTTTTTAGTGTCATTACCCAAACTTCCTATAGGATGGTCTTTAAGAGTACTCACAGGGTGGTACTGGCTGTATTGTCTGTTGGTTGTGGTTACCTATAGAGCTAGCATGACGGCTATTTTATCTAGACCAATGCCCAGGTAAAAAAGATAGAAATGAAGAAAGAATATAAAAATGAATAGGCAAAAATTAAATAAATCCCTATATAAAATATTGTAATAATTTATTCTCGTGTTATACAAATCAATTTTAGCTACCTCTATAATATATATCATTAGTTTTTATATATAGGGTGAGTAAACGCTGAAGTTCAAGAAATTATATATTGTATTTTTAAGATTGTTTAACTAATTTACTACCATAGTCTGTTTAAAGAGAAGATCCGTGACAATGACAATGCCATTTTAATCACAGGTAAAATGTGCTTTCTGTCATTTTTTGGTTGTTATCTGTCGAAATCGCCCTTACTCTTTGGACAGACAATAGCGTCGCTTACTCTTAAAGGAACTCTTTCCCAATTTTTTACCAGATGTGATAAAAGATTGTTTTCAATAATTACAGGGTTTTGATCGACATTCTGCAAGAACTTTCAGACAGTAAACTAACCTACGGTGGTTGGGGAGATATCAATAAACAATTCTTCCAGTCATCTCCCGACACGATGATCAAAGTGATCGGCGAAAACTTCGAAATCGTCGATAATGCCGAAGTTGCCGTAGACAAAGTGGCCGAAGGAAGATTCGCATTCTATGAAAATGTGTACTTTCTGAAAGAAGCTGTCGTTAAACGCCAAACTAAGTAAGGAATTATCAAATTCAAGATAAAGAGACTGTATCTGTTTAAAAATTTACACACAAAGAAAAATTTAATATCGTTTGTCGCATATTAACATTAAATTCGTATTTGTTGACAAAGTAAGTTCACAAAGTAAAAAATACACACAATATTATTCCATCATTCTTGGATTTAGCTTTGTTCGTTTAGATCAAGTTTGTATCTAGTTATTTACCTTCATTTATGTTATTTTGGTTATTATACAGGGTTGTCCGAATTGTATTCCGGAAACTTCGGCAGCATATTCTGCAGATAAAAATAAGTAAAAAAGTTCGTATAAATGTATGTCCTCAAATACTTAGTTTCGGAGATACAGGGTGTAGAAATTTCATTTTTATTTCGATTTTTCTAAATAATTTCTGAAGTGACGTCAATATTTGGATGAAAATTGCTGTCTGGGAGTTTCTTGACATGAGAAATTTGATTTTGATGTCAATATGACTCCTACTAGTAGAGGCGCCACCTACATTTTTTTAACTGATGGTTTAAAGAATATTAACTTTTAGTCCGTACCTTTATAAAACTACTGATCGAGTAAAAAATATACATTTACGACATTTTTTACGTAAAAGGGGTAATGGAGTAATGGTTCCCAAAATATTTGAAATCGAAATTATCAACCTGTCATCGTTGACATAAATTAAACATGTTGACTAAATATTTACTAGACTGAAATCATAAATTTGAAATGTTTTTGTACCAAAAATTCAGCAGGAACTATTTTATCATGATTTCTTCGCTACGATTTTTACCAAGAGACATTTTTTACGTAAAAAGTCACGGAAATGTATATTTTTTCACTCAGTACTTTTATATAGGTACGGACGAAAAGTTACTACACTTTTAGGACATAACATTTATACGAACTATTTTACTTATTTTTATCTGCAGAATATGCTGCCTAAGTTTCCAGAATATAGTTTGGACCACCCTGTATAATATATAACCTTTCTTATATTTCTTTTATCGTTTTTCAAGAGTGTCGCCTTTTTTTGCTTTAACTAGAAAAATCGGACAGCCCTAGTTGAAATTAATTACGTAATTGGGGCTGTTTGACGTCACTGAGACGTGCCTAACATGTGTGAATAAATCTTTATTATTCTCGTATTTAGATTTCAGCAACACGTTACGAAAAATACAACGAACAATCTAAACACTGACGTGAGACACCTCATCCAATCGGACAGAAATCTCCACATAATGAAGGAATGCATAATAAACATGCCCGTGTCCATAGGTCTCCAGAGAAATTCTCCAATCAAACAGCGCATCGACAAAATAATACGACGAGTTCTAGAAGCCGGTCTAGTGGAGAAATGGCTTAACGATGTTATGCAGAAGATTTTAAGGGATAAAGTGGACCCTAAAACCGATGCCAAAGCTATAATGAACATCAAAAAATTTTATGGAGCTGTAGTGGTTTTAATAATTGGATATTTATTGGGAACTTTGTTATTAATAGGCGAAATTGTGTATTTTCATTATTTCGTTAAAAATCCAGTCTCTTTTAGTGTACCGTTTAAGATAAAACCGAAATCTGGAAAAAAAATTGTAAGATTTGATAAGTAGTGCCAGAATAACTAGCTCAGAATAGTACTTAATAATTATATAACCAACAATACACTGAGTCCTAGAAATTGATTCAGGTTTAGGATTCAGTAAATGGCATTATAAAATAGCCCTTAAGGTGCGCCCAAACCGGCTGCGCCGCTCCGCGCCGCGCAAAACATTTTTTTAACATGTACTTTTAAAGTGTATTTTTTTAGCGCGCACAAAAGTATATGTTAAAAAATAATTTGCGCGGTGCGGCGCAGCTGCTGGGAACGCACCTTTAGGGTTAAAACTTAATGTTCTGCTCTAAAAACGGTCTGTGAGATTTTTGATTACTGTATATATATTACTATATCATGTACCAGTAAAATATTTGTTTTCTCGAACCTTTTTGTCAACTATACTCAGTGTTTAGCAATTAGTTGTACACAAGTTAAATTATTATATAAAAACTATAAAATAAAATAAACGTTTAATTCCTAATATTTGTATACACTTCTAATATTCTACATGATTCTACCAATAAATAGTGAAGAAAAAACATTCTCACCACTTATTTTTACCTCGATAATTTGTGGTAAAATACTCTTTGATACTATATATTTTTGAGAGAAACAGTGACCCCGTATACAATCAACAAACAAGCAATTCACGGACAAAAATGATACAATCATAGCTCATAGCATACAATCACCGCAATACATCTCTAGTAAAGTTTGCGAAACATCTCTAATATAATCTGTCAAAACAAAGATGTGACTTTTCCCCTTCCCTTGTCAAATTTGATTTTAAACTGGCGCGAATTGATGGCTTCTGCTGTTAAAAACAAAGTTAAAATATGGTTAAAATTGGTTAAAATCAGTTAAAATAACACTAAATGTAGTGAACAGTTTATACAAAATAGAATAAAATATATTTAGGTAATAGAGATATTTAATAAAGTTCCTGATATAGTGTTATATTTAAAATGAGCAAGCTTTCCACCGATCTCCACGAACTTTTGACTGAAGATGTTTTAAATATGTTACAAGCGAAAGGAATTAACAATATCCTCGATGTCCTACGTGCAGATAATCGATATTTAGAAAGAATATCACCTCTGACTTTTCCGGTAATATACTACTTTTAATATTTGTTCTTTTAGAAAAAGTGTTAAATTTAATATTAAAAAATTGTAGGAAATAATTTTACTTAAGAAACATTTTTTCAAGAAATTCTCAGTTCGTCCTCAGAATGCATTTAAGATTTATCAGAAAATGCTACAAACTTCAGCAATAATACCTATAGGAATCCAGTGGTGGGTTTTAAAAAAATACAGAGCAAGTAAAAAGATATTTTTTTTAGTATTGACGACATTTTAAATGGGGGTATTATGACAGGCAAAATATATGAAATTTGTGGACCCCCAAATTCTGGAAAAACCCTATTTAGTTTAGCCATGGTCAGTGCAGTCCTCAAAACAGATAATTCTGCCTATTTCTTGGATACACGACAAAAATTGACTGCTAAAGCAGTTAGATCACTGTTCAAAAAAGTTAATAAGGTAAGAAATTTAAGTCTAAACATAAAGACTGTGTATAGAAATGTGTTTTTTAGGATAACCATTTAAATTTAATGAATAAATTGCTAGTAAAAAGGATTGAGACGAAGTATCAACTAATAAGTGCATTATATGATATTCTGAATGAAAACAAAACAAATTATAGAGCTATAATAATCGACTCACTGCCCAGTCTAATTTTAACATCGTCTGATATTATAGAAAATAACAATATCCTCAATAATTTAGCCAATATTTTAAGATATATTTCACAGAAACATAGCATCGCTGTAATAATCACTAACTTAACTACCACATGGGTGGAAGGTGGCCTGGCATCAAATAATGTTCGAGAAAATATAAGTTGTGGCAAATATTGGCAAACTGTTCCACATATCCGAATTAAATTGCAAAAAGAATTGTCTACAATAGAGTTAAATGTTATAAAGTCAAACAGTATTCAAAAGCAAACTAAATGCCTAGTACAAATCAATGAACTAATTTGAAAATAAATGTTTAAAAATAAATTTGTTCCTTCTAATTTTCTAGAGTGCTATAAAAACCAGATAAAAACTGAAATTTAATGACATTTTTGGTCTCAAATTACAAGTGATTTCAAATGTTAGGTTATGTTATGTCTTGTTTATTTGTGTTAAAAGATGGTTAAAAGGGCATAGTCCGTGAATTGCTTGTTTGTATTGTTTGAAATCCTGCCAATTCCTCACACAGTAAAAATGGACAGATAGTACAGAACAATTTTACTACTTTCAGTGACCTTTAAAATACTTTGTTAGTATTATTTTTAGGATAATAATAGACATTTTTAAATGTGATTTTTTTCAGATGTGCCTGTGTTAGATTATGTATAATAACACAGGCTTGATCCCTTGTAGATTTTTGATTTTGATTGCCCACTTTGCCATTTGTGTTGATTTATTATGGAGCAGCAAGGAGAATGTAAAGTCCTGTTTGAACGTAACGGAGATGGGGTACAGTACCAACTCTCACCCTACAGGGTAAGTCGAATTCATTATAAAAATTTATATAATTCTTTTATAAAAGTTACAATAGAGGTTGGTAGTTGTTAGAAGTTACTAATCAATTGGTATTAAAATAGTCAATAAATACATTTTAGTTTTGTAGATAAATAATTGTAAATAATAATAATGTTTCAAGTAGTAAATAAATGTATTCTTCTGATAAAAGGATAGGTCATTGAACTGATAAATTTGTTTATATTATTTTTGAATAAGATGCTTCAAAGTAAAACACAGAGTACCACCTCTATACAAAACTGATTTGTTTGTCCGTTAGTGGGCATCAAAGTTAATAAAATAAATACATTTTTTAAGATATCTTAAGAACTGATATTCCGATTTGAATGAGATTTGGAGTGCATATGGCCTATGTTTTCATTCTTCACATACTTTTTCTTGTTTTTTTGTGAAAGTCAAATGTTAAAACACTTAGTAAATTATAGGCACCACAATAATCAGAACAATGGTTCTTAAAATATCTAAAAAAATGGTTTGATGCCCTCTAACGGATAAAGAAGCATTAAGCACTTTTGTATACAGGTAAATTGTTCCCAATGAACTTATTTAGACTCCAAAAATACGTAGTAGTTCTATGTCCACGGAATATTGCAACACTCGGTATAGTCTTAACAAAGAAGGGGTAAGGGGGGGGGGTTAAGAAAGTCCTCATAAGCCTAATTAATGGGCGTCCCTTACCAGTATAGCGTTTTCAGTAATCTATTATTATTAACTAACTAATTGACTAGAATTACCATTATGTTGATTTTTGTAAATGTTCTTTTCAGACTAATTGCAGGTCTTAGCATAGCATTAGCATTGATTGTTTTTGAATTTGTTTGTTTTATCAGTGGCTTTACCATGTTTAACAATACATCCGCTTTGCTGTGTATCCTTTTTCTATAAATTGTTTTTATTTTTGCTAAAAAAAGTATAAAAAGTCTAAAGCAGGGTGCAGAGATTTTAATCAATTTGACTTAAATCAAGATTAAAATCGTGAATTAAAAAAAATCTACTTGTTTAAAAACTTATAATACATCGAAAAATAACTGAAAAGTTATATCGGTATAGTTTATAGAATACAGAAGTTTATGATAGGATTTTAACTGGAAATTGGAAATAAGTTTTTAAGTAGCTGGAAATCTGATTTAAATAGAAAATTGATTAAAACAAAAAAATGATTTTTTAAATTCTTGATAAAAGCAAAAATAATTAAATAAAAAATCTTTATTTTTTTGCGCCCTGTTCTAAAGAGTAGTAACTAATTTACTTAATGTTGATTTATTAATAAGCTTTTTTCCTAGAGAAATAAGTAAACGGAGAGAGGTATTTAAAATATTTCTTCATATAACTGTGGCGTTAATTTATCGATTGTCATTCCTCAGCCGTCTTTTTTTCCATTATAGATGTTTGATCGTCGTTTACTTATTTCTGTGGGAATTTTAACAAAAAAAATATTAATTGACAGTTATTTTTGAGTATTTCCTTAATCCTTAAACTAGCTATAGGCGCTCATGCGGGAGCATGCTTTTTTCTGTGTTTGTTTGTACTGGATCGTTGGCATTGCGATTGGTTTTGGTGGATTTTTGGTTTCGGTTCTGCATTACCATCCAGTTACGACTTGACTGTGGTTATAAGTGTATTAATTAATAAGAAATATTGATCTCAGTATTTACACGGTCTGAATAAGACCTTGACTTAGATGGTGCATACGGGCATATAAAAACTTAATTTTGAGCATGTATTTATGATAATCATCTCTAAGTATAATCTGTCAAACGAACCAAGGAATATTTCAACAGTTGGACGTCCAAGAAATGACAGGAAATAGAATTTAACACAACTGTCACTGTCATGTACCTTCTCGTTAGACAGACTATACTAGATTGTAAAATATTTATTTTAAGAAATAAGATATTTAATATTTTTTGTTCCTTTTGTAACTCTCTCTAGTCATTTGAATAAATTTTCTAAATAATTTTATTGTGTATCATTTAAAAAGCAGTTTTATTGAGAATGCACTTTTAGGAAACTTCAATTAGATACCCTGGTTGGACTAGGCTGTTGCTCTTAACTGGTATAGCTACTGTCATTGGTTCTTCCACTCCCGTAGGATATAATATTGGAGTTATTAACACTCCAGGTTATGTAAGTTACTATTTTTAGTCACAGGAAAAAATATAACCACAACTTTATTGCTTTGTTTAATTAGGCTTAAAATTTTAAACCAGATATGTATAACAGGGTGGTCCTTCGCTGGAGAAACTTCAAGAACGACAATCTGTATTGAAATTAAATTTTGGTAGCATATTTAGGTTAATTTAGATAATTTTTTAAAAATATATACAGTTCTACAGGTTGTCCCTAAAAAAGTCTTCTTTTGATATATTTAACATTTTCTAAAAATGAAGAATCGGTTTTAAACTTTTTGCGTAACTTTCTCTTTGGACACCCTATAGAACTCTATATTTTTTAAAAATACTCTAAATTAACCTATATATTGTATATGCTTCTAAATTTAATTTTAATACAAACTGTCGTTCGCCTTGGAGATTCCACAGCATATATGAGAAGCGCTACCCTGTACTACACTAAAGTCTGTCTAACGAGCCAGAGAAGATTTCGACAGATGACATCCAAAAAATGACAGAAAATACAATTACTGTCCTCCATTCACGCAGTTGTGCTGCAACTCCATTCAATTGAGTCATACAGTTCAGAACTGTTCCGCGCCATATAGAGGCGCCAGGCTATCGCGCACAGCTCCTTTCAGAACCGTTCTCGAGTAGCCCAGAGCGTAAAGCTCTGGAACTTGAAATTCGCGAATGGAGGATAGCAAATGTGTCTCTGAATTAAAATAACACACAGCTGTCACTGTCATGTATCCTCTCGTTGGATAGAGTTTATATACGTCCAAATTTTTTGAAGATATAGTGGACATATTATAATAAGAAATCGAACTATAAAAAAGGATGTTTTTGAAGAAAAAATATATATTTTAGATAATCAAAAACTTTTGTAACGAGAGTATTTTTACAAGATTTAACGTAGCCCTTCGCGACAGTCAGTTAGACATTTTGTGGTCTTCTATTGTATCCGTTTTTCTTATCGGAGGTTGTGTTGGATCCCTGAGCGGTTCCTTATTAGCCAACAAAATAGGTAGGAAAGGAGGCTTGGGTGTGGCCTCCGTATTGGGAGTTGTAGCTGGTATCTTTTTTTGGTGTTCCAAGAGTGCAAACTCCATTGAAATGTTGCTGGTTGGTCGTATATTTGGAGGCCTCTCTGCAGGTAAGAAGTACGACCGTACGATTGAAAAAAAAATGGCGTCAAAGACGGCTGGGGAATGATAATTTTGGCGAGGTCAAGCTCTAGATTTTACTAAAAATTGACATAAAACTTATCAAAAATTAACACTAAATATAGAAGATTTGGAAGGATTGAACAAATCTATTTCCAAAAAAATATTTTTTGTCCAATTTTAAACTACACCATTTAAAAATAAGTTTTACTCAATATAAAAATAATTTACAACCTTAAGACCAACTGGCAGTAAGCGCCATTAAAAAACAAAAAAGATTACGAGGCCAAGTAATGAGGTCTAGGACTTGACCTCGCCGAAATTATTATCGATTGTCATTCCCTAGTCGTCTTCAATGCCGTTTTTTTTTCGATCGTATGTTATACTGATTTTTGCTAGTCTTTGTCACAGCCTATTCATTAAACAGCCAGTCGATTTGCGATCATTTACACGGAACCGCGCCTACCTATAATAGGAAAATTAATAAAAGTTGGCGTGCAAGTCTTCAAAATATTTGACGAATGCACGTCACTATGTTGCCACGGCTACTTTTTTTACTTTGATTGTTGACAAGCGTCAAATAAAATTCGTAATTTTGTCACCTATTTTTAGACTCAATACAAATATTTTTTGTTAATCTACATTATTATATGTTTTCTAATGATTATTACACTAACAAATTCTAATTAAATAAAGTTGTTGGCAAATTTTTTGAATGAAAGCTGAAAAAATGTAAAGTTCTGATTGATTAACATTAGTCTTCACTTTTTGTTAGATTTTACTCACAATCCGTAAACTGATATTGAGAGCAACTGAAACACGCTGAAAGATCTATGTATTTTCAATAAAAGTCGCAAAACTAATCAATTTTTACCTCACAATCAAGCAACAATATCAATTTTTACCTCTCTAGCGCTGTTTAACGGCAAAAAAGACTCGCCGTGATCACTTTCCTGTTCAAAATAAATGAGTAGAGACGAGACAAATTGTTGATGCTGACTATTTAGTAGTTTTAGCATTTTAATGCAATGAAAATCGAAATTTAAACTAATGAAAATCTCGCGGTTTAAACAAACTTGGCTCGTTGACGCGGGTACTCAAAAACTACCAAAGTCGACTGGCTGTCTAGTAAATAAGCTGTGGTTTGGAAGTATGCTAATATTGTTCATTTTGTAGGCTTAATTACTACCATAATGCCTATGTACTTAATGGAGTTAGCACCGCCACATCTAAAAGGTGCTACTGGCGCCCTCTGTCCTCTTGGAGTCACTTTAGGAATACTTATTGGACAGATTTTGTCGATGTACAACATTTTAGGTACAAAGTTAAAATGTTTAGGATATACATTCATATGACGTTTTTTTTTCTTAGAATTGATCAGAATTTAACCCCTTAAATATTAGCATGACAGTAAGAACCATCCTGTATATTTATTTTATAAGAAATTCATATTTATTCGGTTTATTATTAACAACAAAACATTTTTAGGTAACGAAAGCAACTGGCCTCACTGTTTGGCATTGGCTGCAATTCTTCAGGCCTTATACACCATAACAATCGCAGTTCTTCCCGAAAGCCCCAAATATTTGTTTATTATTAAAGAGGAACCAAGTCTAGCTGTAAAAGGTAATTTTTCGCGTTTTTTTTAGATTTAAAAAGTCGATTTCTACGACATGCAATTTTCTACAGGGTCTTGCAACAGTACGTCGACCATCTCTAGCTCCTATGTTGAAGCACTTTCTACTAGGACGTATGGTATTTAAAAAGATATACCCTCTACAAATTTGAATGGCATTTTTTGGCTGGTTTTTAGATTACGTTTTTGAGATACTATCGGCCTGTTCCACTGAGACTTTTTCAGATGTATTATGGTTCTCTTCTGATCTCTAGGTTACATATTCTTCAGTCCAGGCCTTTTCAAAAAGTATAGCAACTTGGAGACTAAACACTCCATATAGCTTTGTCAATAGCTTATTATTGCCTGGTACAAAGAACCGCACATTTGTCAGGCTGTCATAAAACCGCTCCGACATAAAACGTGATCTGTCGTTCTTCAGATTGACAAAATCTACACGTGGCTTCGTCCGTCAATCCTATCGGCTTTAGATGCTTATTAAGCTTACATTGTTAAGTGCTCTGTTAGACCTACTACAGCTTTGACTGTCTTTCTGTCTTTGCTTATCAGACCTACCCTTAATTTTGGCGAATGTTCTACTATGAACTTTTCGCATGTCTTTTTTCGCATTTCTCACAATATTTTAGAGATTTGTTGACCACCCAATGTTTTGTAGCCATTCTTTGGCTGGTCTTTACTTACCGTAATTTTTTTTTCTAGAACTAAAAAGGATTAGGAATGTAAGCGAGGACCTGCTAACTGGTGAAATCGATTTGTTGAAACTCGAAGAACAGGAGAATGTACGGCAGGGTGAAAAATGGAGTATAGGAAGAGTGTTAAAAAGCCACGACCTCTTATTGCCACTGGTTCTAGTTTGTATTTTACAAGCTGGCCAACAGCTTAGCGGTGTTAACGCGGTAAATATTACCATTTTTTTTCTACATAGCCCAATCACTTTTAATTGTTTCAGTAAAAAAATACAGCCGTAGATATATGAAACAAGTTTAGATTAGAAAGTGCCCATAAGGACAATGTAAATACTATTTGGCGCTATTCTTGCAACGGTCGCGACCCAAATCTTTTGATAATTTCGGAGCGGTTCGGCTTCTTCTGGAATTATGTCGTCAAATATATTATTTATTCAAATTTTTTATTATTTTTTTTGTGTTGCATATAAGAAACTTTATTTCATATAAGGACATGTATGAAATACCTATGGAACATTGTAAACCGACGTTATGCCACTATGGTTTTTGTAGTTCACAGTTCACACAGCTTAAGTATTTTTAATGCCATTTTTTCACAATTATCAGGGGTTTGAGTAAATAAAATTTAAATTAAACTTACAAGATAGCAATAATTATTTTGAAAATAGACGCTTTAAACACTTTTCGGTAATTTTTCAATGTGGGCGGTTTAAATTTTGAAAGATTTTATAATTTTTGAAGATTCTGAATTTGACAAGCGAATATTCCCTCTGTTCTTGTTTGCGGTTGTTCTTAGCCACCGCTATAGCAGTGCCAGATCCCGTACAATGTATGCGATCCAAAACAAGTTATATTACGTTTCAGCGGGAAGCCGAGCATTCCAATCTAAATTTATTTCCTTTATCTACGGTAACAGCTTCCAGTTGTCAGTTGTATCCATAGAGAAAACCTAATAATTACGTTATATAACAATAAACTTTTCATTTCTAACCAGAATTTCTCTTGACAGATGATAATCAAAGACCAAAATGACATTACTCGAAAATTTTGAAGTATAATTAGTTGAAAAAGTTGTTTTCTACTAATTGAAAATTACTACCACTGATTTTAACTTTCTGAATGCTTACATTGAAATTAGAGAAACAAACTTCTACGCTAATTGAAACCACTAATTTATTCCGCTAATTGCGAGGTACTGAATGAGCTATACTCGTTTTTAATCTTTTACTTTTTTAGGTTTTCTATTACTCTTCTAACATCTTCAAAAGTGCAGGCTTGTCGACGACCAGCAGTGAATTAGCAACCATTGGCGCTGGATGTTGTAACATATTCATGGCTCTGATGTCTGTTCAAACCATGTCTTGGTTCAAGAGGCGCACAATTCTTCAAATTAGTATAGTCATGTCGGCTCTTTTTCTTGTGATATTGGGACTTTCAATCAGTTATATAGTAAGTACTACAAAAAATAAAAGTTACATGGTGAGTTAACGTCTCCTTTTTACGGGGAATCCGAACCGCGATCCTCTGCCATATTAGTGTCAGGGATCTACCGACTTGGCGAGTGTCTAAATTGACCCTTACTCAAGAGATATCCGACCTCATCCGGCCTCGAGCCGGCGTGAATAATCAGCGGGTGTTAATAGATTTTACACTCTTGCCAAAAAAAAATGCTAAAAATAGATTTTACATTCTTGCCTTGAAAAACAGCACTACTCTGCACGACAGACTTTCCAGACGGTCACCCGTCCATACACTCACATCGTCTAACGTCGCTTAACTTCAGTGATTTATCGGGAACTGGTGTATCGACGTACCTGGGCCGTTGCCCTCCATAAAATAAAAATATTTCAAACAGAAAAAAAATTGTAGGTTAGAATCGCTGAAACATGCGCAAAGCTAACGATTTTGACTTGACGTAACGAACGAACCTGCCTATTGTCACTGAGCGTTTTTTTATCGTTTCAAATTCGAATTTCTTTTTGCAGAATTCATACACATGGATGCCTTACCTATGTATCTTCGGAGTTTTAGGCTATGTTCTGTGTTACGGCTTAGGCCTAGGCCCGATTCCCTACTTCATCGGTTCGGAACTGTTCGAAGTGGGGCCAAGGTCAAGTGCTATGGCCTTGGGCAGTATGGCCAATTGGAGCGGGAACTTCGTCATTGGACTGACATTTCCAACTATGGCTTCCCATATTGGTGCTGCTTCGTTTTTTATGTTCGCTTCCATAGCAGTCGCCATATTACTTTTTGTAAGGTAAGATAATTTATAAAACTCTCTATATCTGATATTGCAAATTGTTATGTAAAGTGGTATGATCGAATAAAAACGGCGTCCAGTTCGCTTGGAAATGACCATCGATGACATTTCCCATATAAATTTACATATAAAATGACAGTGATCTTCATTTCATAGCCATCGCTGACGCCGTTTTTATTCGATCATACGGTATTATAAGTCAACTAATAGTCTTAATACGATAACTTTTTATAGGATTTACCTTCCTGAAACAAAAGGAAGAGAAGCTTGTGAGATATATAATCTTGTGTCCAATGGATTCAAATCCAGGCCTTTACAGAAACACATTGTTATTAATCCAAGTATTCATTTCGACGACAAAGATGTTTTATAAATCTCAGCCAAAAGTATTTTTAGATTCGTTCAACATTAACCTCCAATATCATAAGTTTCATACCCATTTTTTTAATAAGTCTATACAAAATTTCTTCAACGTTATGTCATACACTGTGGTACTCTTTCTTTCAGATAGAAACGGGATGAAATAGACGTAAATGTAACTAGCTGTTCTAGTAACTGTCATTTCATTTTTGAGGTTATGATCGAATGCGCTGTCAGACAAAATTGAATTCTGTTTGTTACTAAAATGTTTAATACCAAACCTGGTATGTACTGATAAAATTATTAATTGAAACATAACCAAAAAAACGATCAAAGGCCAAATACCGACTTGAAGTTAAAAAAATCTAAAACTAATTGCGGAACCTACTTGAAATTTTCTGAACAGTATGAACTAATCTCAGACACACTCCAAAACGGATATTAGATAAATGATGATGACGTAACGTTGAACAATCCTTGTACAGACCATACCAATATTAATCAATAATTATTTTGTAGTTTCGAAAAAACTAATATTTGTTGGAATATATATTCAGATCTTGCCTATTTAAATTAACAATTAAATCTTTAAATTATTATTTAGTTATAAGATTGTTATATACATTTTAAATTACTTTTTCAGAAAAAAAGTCTGCTTGTCAAGTCTCAATTAAGCAATCCTGAAACTTAAATTTACATAACTGTGATATTTTATGTAAACTTAATTGAACTGGATTTAACATTTTACTTAAAAACCTTTTGAAGCAATCTTTTCACATGCTTATTATATATAAATATTTTGTGTGTTGTTTAACAAATATACTTTATATTTGGTTGTGGGAGGTTGCAGATTTAGTAATTTTAATATATTTCATATTTTAATTTGTCTTTTTATTACTCAAGAATATTAGTAATTTAGCAACGACGACGATGCAGAACATGGCAGAAAAAATTACTTTTAAATTAAAATGACAGGTAATTGTCACTGTCGAAATTCCCTCGTTGTCAAAAATGTCACTTATTAGTAATTTACTTCTGTTTAATTTCTTTTAAAAATGTTTCTGGAAAAATACTACTTTTTTTCTTTTATTATTTGTTTATTTTATGTAAAACAGCGTTAAAAACTCGTCTATTTTTAGGTACAAAAAATATATACAAAATCAATTATTACTTATACAAATATATACAATATACAATAATGATTCAATATCAAAATAGTTATTACAGAAGAAATACATCCATTTTAGAAAGGCACTGTAGTACTGTCTTCAAGTTTATTTTTATATGAGATACTAATAAATAAATATTTTGCATATAGGTAATACCTTTTTGCAGTGGCGGCTCGTGAGTTCCGTATTTTTAGTGCATAAAAAACGGATATTTTTTGTGCATAAAGTCTATCTTTCTAGTTATCATGCTAGAAATGACGTCATTATAGACTCGTATTAAAATATAACGTAAAAATATAATCATGCATTTAATTATATACAACACGATCGAATATAATATATATAATAATATAATATAATAATAATAACAGTTGGGGGTTTATTACTAAAAAAATAAATAGGATATATCAATTTCATAAATTATACCCCTTTGTTTCAATAGCGTATATATAGATAAAATATATTTTAAACATCAAAGGTCGGAAAATACTTGTCAAATGAAATATAAAGGCAATGAAAGTTCAAAATTCATTTAGCGGTAAAACAAAACCAATTATTGCTACCACATTCAGAAAAGTGACCGAAATAGTTAATTATATCACAAATTGCAAACATTAAGGCACATCAGTCTAGTAACTGAACAATCTGTCTAAGTTCGTCAACTACCTGGACCATTTCTGGTCGTTTCTTTTATTGTCTTCGAGGCACTTTAACGCCAATTTAAACAGCTTTTCGGCAAATTAATATTGTCATGTTCCCAAGATCCTATCGTCCTATCTAGTATGGGTTCAATATCTTCTTCACATTTATCCAGCATGTATGTTACCTAGGTACATTTTTTTATAAATAAAAGTCAAAGTTGACATATGACATGTTGATACAAAGTTGATATATTCTATTCAGAGTGTAATTTTCTATCGAATAAAGTAAAAAAATACCGAGGGTACCATTTAAAAATTAAAAGTTGTAGTCAATTCTGGTGAAACAGGAAGTGGCCGAAAACAATTGCATACCCATCAATCAATCCTAACTTATATCATATACTACTACCAAATCTCGTTTTTTTATATGAAAAAATAAGTTATAGGGGTGAGCTACTTTTGAGAAACGCCCGGTATACTATAGTAGTTTAATTAATATTACGCGATATTTTTAATATTAACTAAAGTTGACCGTCAAGTCAAAAAACTTATAATCACTATTACTTTCTGACCTCCCCCTATAGACCTTAGAGCAAACATGGCAGCTACCATAATTAGTGTTTCTGCGCACGTTCATGCTCAATCTCTTTACCTCTATATCTCTGAATAGAACGTATATTTCTACTTACCAAATCTATCCCTTGTCTTTTTGTATCAATTGGAGGCAATGACGTCATCAGTTCTACTAGAACGACGCCGAAACTGTACGTGTCCAGTTTAATGGAAATGTCACCTCTGAGACATTCCGGTGACATATATGCTGAAGTACCGAACGGAGCCGTATAAGTGTCAGTTTTCTGATTGGGTAGCAGTTTTATGATTCCAAAGTCGCCAAGCTAAAAACAGTGTGTGTCATAATATACAGTTTGCAAGAAATGTTTTTTTGATTATTGAATTGTTGAATAAAAATTTATTCCCTTAAAGCTCCATCTTCAACACAAACGTTGCAGATAAAACATAGAGTGTGGACAGCAAGTTTGAACAAATTTTAGAACTGCACAAACTTGGAAGGTTGAGTTAAAAGTTTCAGCTACTCACAACGATTTGTTTGTGGTTTTATTTTAATTTTAATCAGCTAATCAAATACAAATAATCTCAGGCCTACGGCAGTGTTCACATGAATTTCTCAGTGAGCTCCTTGACCTGTACGAGTCTTTCTTGCTTATGGCGAGTAAAATCAAAAGAATACAGTGACAGAGAAAAGAAAAGTCAGGCCTACGAGATGATTATTGAAAAGTTCAAGGAGGTGGACTCTGAAGCGACAAGAGATAAAGTAACGAAAAAAAAAATAATTCACTATTAGAGGCGTAGTTTAGACGTTTGACTTGACTTTTTAAGTTATTTAAAAATAGCGAACACTAACCACAACGTGTTTTCTTCATGATATGACAGAATACAAAAGTGAAATACTACAGAACACATAAGTAAACAATACAAAGACAAGTTATTGTAATGTGGACACAACTTGTTCTGTACGATTTATCTGCAACGTTTTGACGCCGCAAGCAAATCGTATGATAAGTCATTGCGTGTGGACCGTACTTTACCTTTTAGGTCAAAATGTATAAAATATGGTTTCCTTTTTATTTATTTAATGAAATCGATTTTTTTGAGATTTAGTAGGTTTTTGCTCTGACGGACTTTTGGACTTTTGACGATTAGCGAAGAGTTGACAACACGGCGCAAGACCGCCTACAGAACTGCCGTCAGTCCTCTAGACGGTCTTCCGTTTTAACTGACAAGTAAAATGCTAAATGTAGACGGGACTTTAGCACTGTTGCCAACCCGGCGGTTTCCCACTAGATCTAACAAAAATGTTATATATTCTAAACAACAATTTTTTTCAAAATTTGCATCAATAATCACATAATTCTAATATATTCTTAAAGCACCTAGGCATAGAATCGCCTAGAAAGTAACATTAAATCACGTGACGAGAGCCTTACCAAAAAATATTAAAATAGGCGACACAGCAAAATTTCAGTTTCATTGCCGATTCTAGCGGTTTTATATAGACGAATCTAACGTGTATTAAACTTCCGAGAGATGGCAACCAAGGACTTTAGACATGCAAAAAGTGGGGTTATGTGACAAAGTATTTACCTTTGGATTATTATCTCCATCTAATAAAATATTAGCAGACTTGATATCCCTGTGTATAATCGGAGTTGAAAAGGCTGTATGAAGATATGCTATAGCCTCAGCTGTTCCTATTGATATTTTTAACCTCTGCTGCCATGGTAATTTCTGGGGATTTTCCTAAAAAAAAAAATACACTCACAATAAATACAAAAAAATACCAAACTTTAAGCGTAGTTTACACGGGCAAGTAAATTATCGCAAGTATATGTCTGAGAGCACTTCTACCAAACTTGCATCATGTAAACAGTATCCGAAAGCACTCTCCCAGCAAGTCACAAAACTGGCGGGGAAGTGGTTGCGACGAAAGACGCTTGCAAGTATAAACACGCTGGGAGAGTGCTCTGGCAAGTTAAAATTTATTTCCGTCTTGTTGAAAGTTTTTGGTGCAAGTGATTTTCGAAGGCGTGTTAAATAACGATACTAAAATGGAGTATGTGGTTGAAAGAAGATACCATCACTTTGATTAATTTATTTGAAGGATTTCCGGAATTGTGGCAATAAAATCGAAAATTTACAGAGATAAAGCTAAAAAGCAAAAAGCAATCAAATTTACAGCTGACAAATTCAACACAACTGAGGCTGAGATTCAGCGGAAGCTAAATAATATTCGTATCCAAGCAAACCAGGAGTGGAACAAAATTATAAAAAGAAAAAGTAAAATCGACTACTGACATTCGCAGAAAATTGTTTAAATGCTTTGGGTCTTCATTTCTTATTTTTTTTAATAACATCGCGTAAGCTCCAAGACTAGGCCTTCTGGCAATCCATTCTTTAACCCATATATTCTTTTTCTAGATTTTCTTGACTGTTTGCGTAAAATTGCAACAAGAAGAGCAGTGGCTGCAGCTCTCTTTTTACGGCGCTACATTTTTCTTCTAAACGATATACTTGTGCAATATATACTATACCGTGTATACGTGCATGCAATTTCTTGCTCAAAGCATATGCCTAGAAAGTACTTGTTGCAAGAAATTGCTTTAAAATTTGCTTAAATGTAAACACTATCGCAAGTTACTCTAGCAAGTTCTATCGCAATTTTCTATCCCGTGTAAACTACGCTTTAGCCTAAAAAACTTACTTTTAATATATCACACAGTGTACCCCCTGGAACATACTCGTATACCAAACAATACGTCGGACCATCGCAAGAATATCCCAATAAAGACACCAAATTTTTATGTTTGTATTTACTCAAAAACTCCACTTCATTCTTAAATTGTTTCGTCACTTGATCATCTTCGTTTACCACTTCAACATTCTCCAAAAATATTTTTTTAACTGCCAAAAATTCGTGTGCCAGACCAGTCGCTAAAAACACCGAACCAAACGCACCTTTACCCAGAAACCTTCCTTCATCTTCTATACTTTTAAAAGGAGTATCACTAAAATTATTTGTTGCATGTTCTAACTCACAGTACCTAAAATGAGGTAGTTCCGTGTTTAACGAAAGATTTGGTAACGGAGATGGACATTTGTTCGAACTGCCAGACGAATTCTTCGAGTCCGAGTCATATATTTGAACTGAACCTGAAGCTTGATCGCTTTGAGTGTTTAACAGACTCAAATTCGGAATAATATTTGAACTAGATATGTTCTCATTTAGGTTAAGAACATCTAAGTCGGGAAGTGAACCTTCTAGGATACTGTCACCAGTTTGGTCACTTAATAATTGTGATAAAGGTGGTATTGGTGCGTTACTCTCTATTAAACTTGCAGAGTTATTTAAAATTTGACTAAACGCTGGTGTAAATGAGTTACTAGTGGACTGATCATTATTATCAGAAATTGAATCGAGAGAATTTAGAATTTCCGATATGTTAGGTAAATTAACTGAAGAAATTTCGTTTTTAACTTCACTCTCTTGTAGAAGAACAGAGAAATTTGGCATAACATCCGAGTTTTGAACATGGTTCACAGGTTCCTTTGGTTTTTCTTTCTGGATAACTACAGGCGCATTAAAATCTCTTCCTTCATTGTTATCTACTTCACTAATAACAATTTTCGGGATGCCTTGTGCAGGAAGAGCTACTGTTTCATCAGATTTTTTTCGAATCTTGTTAATAGCAATCTCGGGATAATTAATTTTATCTAAATCTCTTTCGATTTCTTCCAAATGTCGATCAACGCGTCCCGGCAAGTTTGTAGTTATTGCCCTTGCCGGTCCATTGACAGGTCTCGGGGGAGGTGGTTGGTTTATTAATTTCGATACGTAATCTGCTGCTTGAAACAGTTCGGCTTTAACCAGTAAGTACCTCAAAATGCCTAGATTGGCTCTGATCTTTCCTGAGGTACCCCACTCCTGTATTAAGATTTCTGTACAGGATTTGTTAGGTTCAGAACCAGCCTGTTCGATGATCCTAAAACGATTAGAATTAGTACGTGAATATACAGGGTCCTGCAACAGTATGTCGGGCACTTGTAGTTCCTACAATAAAAAACCTTGAATTTTGTACAAACCTTATTATTACTTATCAGGAGAATATTTACTGCATGGTGGCTCAAAAAAATGTGAGTGGATCGGTATTTTTTTTTAAATGGGACACCCTGTATATTATTGCATTTTTGCGTCTTTATTGATTACTTCACATAATCCTAAGAAATTATTAAATAAGTTTTGATAGTTTCAAAGATAATAATAAGTAAATAAACAATATATATTTTTCAACTTTTTTAAAAAATTATGAACAGAAACCTTGCAAAACACGAAAATACATACTATACGTATGCAATTAAACCAAATTTCTGAGTTCGTTTTTTCCTAGAGATGCCTGACACACTTTTGCAGGACCTTATATAAAAACATTTGAGTAAAAAGACTCAGGAAGGATCTAAATAATTTATAACAGGTATATAAATAATAAAATTGACTCTTTTCCTATTCCTTTATTAGTTTTTTTTATTCAAAATGGTTTAAACAAAATGAAAACTAACTTGAAATGTTCAGAGTTGTACTTGGGCAGATTATCTGGTTTTACATCAGCTACAAAAGTTGTAGAACTCAATTGCTTCGGTATTATAGCCATTAGATCTTTCCAATAATCGGCAAAATCTAGTAGTCTTGCTAATTCCCTCGTTACACTTGGAGGCAACTTCCGAATCTCCAATTTTGGATCATACACAGGTTCCGCCATAACGTTTGGATAGTATATAAATACACAAAGTGATAGAGATTGGTATTCCGCGCGGGTTTCACTACAATAAATTGCATTTTGTTTTTGTTATTTTATTTAGGAACTAGTTTATATGATCAATAGTTTTAGGCTTTCATTTTATTATATTACAAGATCCATTTTTTTAATTCAATAATAATAAACAAATTTAGTGTTCTGTTACAAATACAAATATTTCTTGAGTATTTATATCTATATTTCTTTGGTTTGTTATTGTAACTCTGTATTGTCTTAACTGGTCAAATAATTATTAGGTATGTAAATCAATTTATCAATAACAAGAAATAAATTTAAAATCCTGTATTCATTATTCATCATTTTTTATATTCTTTTCTTTCATTATTCTCTTATTTTTAGGATACAATTCAAACAAAAAACAAAAATAGTAACAAAATGTTTCTCTACTATTTTACAAAGAATTAATTTTTTTCTCACATGAATCTTTGTATTTTGCTATTAAATGTACCTATATTTTCAATATTTACTACATTTTGTAGAAAAAGGGGTACCGAAAAAGGTATTATTTCCGTAATTCCTAGTCAGCTATGAAAAGGATCTTTAAATATTTATTTACTTGTTGGTGAACTATGGTGAGATGATAAATAAACCAAATTTAGGCAAGACTTACCAGGAAAGGCGAACACAATAATTTTATTTTTAATTAATTTTAAGATTTTTTATTTACTTCTTCGCATTTGAAATTTGAAGCGGAAATAATCACGATCACCATAATAAATAACCTAAAACACATCTAAAATCACAAAACATATTCTAAAATCACCGGAAATCACAACAATCACGAAATGACACCAACATAAATGTCATTTCTTGAACTAGATGTTTGCTTATCAGTCGCCACTGCCGTATTTTTGGTTGCCTATAGATTTTTCCATTGTCAACTTTTATATGTCTATGGGATTTTAAATTATAGAATAATATATGATCAAAATTTTTATATGAACCAAATTAAGTATGTGATTAAAATTTTAGGTTATGTGATGTGATATGTGATAGTCTGTGGTGATAGTGATGTGATATGTGATCCATAAAGTTAAGTATTAAAAGATGTAATCTATTTTATTCAAATTTTATTAGTTTTTCAACTCTGATTTGTAATTTTAAAAAACTATAAATTTATGCAATAGTGATAAGGTATACCAGTGATAATACAGAGTAAACGTAAATATTTTACATATTCTCGATTTCGTAGTTATCACTAACAAATTAACACTTAAAATACGTAAAGCAGTACTTAACTAATCTACTTCTACTTGCTAATAAGAAAATAACGCAACAGCTTTCTTATCTGTTTTAACTAATTGCGTATAAGAAGAATGGACATACATAATTGTATCTAATCCAATATTATTTACATTGATGTAATCAAGACAATTTCATCATTTACTGTGTTCTTTAGAAGACGCGAGATAAATTATGCCAATTAAGTCTTTACAAATAGTATTGCGAGATAAAAATTATAATGACAAATTAAAGAATTTGTATTACAATAGAGTTATTCTAATACTACTCCAGTCTCTGTGCTATCCTGTGCAAAATGGAATTTCTAATTGGAGGAACAGCCGCTATGGGTGCATGCATATTCACGAACCCTTTGGAAGTATTAAAAACAAGGCTACAGCTACAGGGTGAATTAAAAGAAAAAGGTACACACGCAGTGCATTATAAAAATGTTTTTCATGCCGGTTACGTGGTTGTAAAGAACGATGGTATCCTTGCCCTTCAAAAAGGGCTAGTTCCTGCTCTAGCTGTTCAGTTGGTATTAAATGGAGCGAGATTAGGTATTTTTTTTAAAAATATTTAAAATATATAACATGCTAAAAGCAATAGTATTCTACAGGTTGTTACGGGGTAGCTGATACATATGGATACTTAAGGGATAAACAGGGAAAAACAATATTCATACAGAGTGTTGTCATAACTGGCTGTGGTGCTGTCCTAGGACAGGTCTTATCTAGTCCCTTCTTTCTGGTAAAGACTCATTTACAGTCGCAAGCGACACAAACTATAGCGGTTGGACATCAGCATAATCATGAAGGAACATTCAAGGCATTAGCAAACATTTATAGAAAAAATGGGGTATGTTGAAATATTCTAAATTTGGCTAGCTGTCCCCTAAATTGATGATGAATAAAATAAATTAATCCTCTGTTCAGTTTTTACATCAGAATCTGAAAATCAGTTTGATAATTAAATAATTTATTTATTAGACAATAATCTAGAATAATAATCTTCTAGAGTATGTCCCCGGATTGTCTTAAAAAAAAGCAAAAAATTAATAATAATTTTCTCTAAGACGGAATGGAAATTTGGAAAAGAATAAATGGGATTAACCATTATAAACAAGCAAAATCTTTTATGAAGAATGCATTTTTTTCAAAATGTCAATAATAAAAAAGTTTTTCCTCTTGTAATCGGGGACATACTTAATTTTATTTATTCATTTAGTGGACGACTAGACAGATAGGTATTTTAAATTTCTTATAAACACATTTCAGGTCAGAGGTCTATACAGAGGTGCTTTGGCATCAGTGCCAAGAGCATTTGTAGGGGGTTCAAGTCAATTAGTTTCATTCGATTATGCCAAAAGATTCATCGAGTACGCGGGAATCACCGAAAATTTCCTATTAAAATCATTTCTAGGCAGTATGGTCGGAGGGGTTGTTATAAGTGTGGCAATGACGCCGTTTGATCTTATTCTAACAAGACTGTATAATCAACGTAAGTATATATAGTTCTTCTCGCGTAACTTTTTCCTTTATGGCTTAAAACGGTCCGTCAAGGCGATACCAGAGCAGCTTTTATAATAAATTTAAGTTTATACAGATTGTTAACTGGACAGTTACTTATAGGGATTTATATATAGCATTACTTAGAATGGCAGCACTGCCTATTGAGAACGCATGCACTTATAGGGTTTTCTGGACTCGTCCCGTCGCGTCGCGTCGTCTATCGACGAGCGGGCCGAGGTTGCCATATTTCAACCGTAAAGCTCTTGCCGCGAGTAATAAACAAATTAACAACATGTATAAGTAAAAACAGAGTGAGATTAAATATAAGTGCAAATATTTTCATGACTTGTAGATCTTGATAAAAGTAACATATGACCTCTTTACCTTTTTTAAATAAGTTTAAAATAACTGAGTTATTTTACTTTGAAAATTTAAAAAAATATATTATTTAGATATGTGTTTTAGCTAAAAATTAAAAAAAAATAATTTTTTTCGAAAATGACAAATTTTCAATTTCATCAATGTCATCAATGACATTGACATCTTTGATTGACATTATAACTTTAATTCTCCCTAGCTCTATATTTCTGAGTTTATTAGATAATCTAAAAAAAAGGAAAAATTACGTAAAACTAACTATACTATTATAGTAAATAATATTAATCTGGTATTAAAATATTTACAGCTATTGATTCAAATGGGAAAGGTATACTCTACAATGGTTACTTGGACTGTGTCACGAAAATTTACAAATCAGAAGGACTGCTAGCTTTCTACAAAGGCCTTGGCCCGATGTACTTAAGATTAGGGCCCCATACTGTGCTGTGTTTAGTGTTCTGGGATCAACTAAGATCTCTATATAACAAATATTTCTTACAGGACCAAATCAGTAGCAAAGTTGACAAGCTGGCATAGTTATGAGCGTTTTTATTTTTTGTAAAAGGGCTGTAATAGTATATTGTTTTATTAGGAGTAAAAATTACTGCTGTACGTTTGACAGGCGAGGCACAAAAAGGACGTTTTTATTCCGAATAGAACATGATCTATTTTTTTTCAAACGTCACAAATAATATAAAAAGTACCTTATAAGTAATAATTATGTATATATCGAGCAACAATTGTTGGATTCAACATTTATTTAATGTCAGTTTAATAATATATTTTCATACTTTTGTGCTTATGCGTAAAAGTGCTTTAATTTTATGCCTAGACGTTAAAATGACCTTTTTATATTATCACGTGGCAGAAATTAATACTTTTGTGACGTTTCAAAAAAAAATTATCTCGTTTAAAATTCTCTGTTTTTTTCTACCTTAATCAGTACAAATAACTAACAGTTACTGTGATATTTTAACTAAAGAGATGTTTATTGAGTTATAATTTAGTATTGTATCTGATGATATTTTATTGTGCATAATTGAGATTTTATTTTTAAAATACATATGGCATTATTATTATTAAAAGGATTAATTGTGTTTTATTGCCTTATTCTCTTTAAAGAGTTTTTGTTTAGTCATCCCCAATGAATATAGTTTGTACCATGTATTTTTCCATGATTCGCTTAAGCAATAAAAAAAGGTAATTTTCGAAATAAATATATGTTTATCTAAGTAAAAACAGAGCTATAAGCATGCAATAAGACCATATTATTTGAACAATTTTTATTTAAATTGTTCTTTAAATGCAGCTAAAATGAAATTACTAAAAATACAGAGTAGCTCATTAATTATTAAAATCTTCATTTTTTAATTTTGCGTCTAAAAGAAAAATAAAATATACAGGGTGTTGCATTTAAAAAAATGATATTTTAAATATTGCGATATCGGCGACGACGCCATAAAAATTTTCTTGTATAAGATAAAGTTATTTTTCCTTTGCGTTGACCTTGATGTTTAGCATAGAGAAATATAAAATAATTTTTTATTTTAGTTACTTTATGATGTAGGAAAATATCTCTAGTTTTTAACCACTTTTCGGATATGGCGTTTTTAACCAAAGTTTCAGTAAATATGAAATAGAATGGCAACACCGTATCGTACTAGAAATAAAAATAGCGCGTATGGTATATCTCAAGTCAGCTGGAATAGATTGGAACTCTTAATTTCGGCACGGTCTTTGTCGGCATTGTTGGGACAAAGGAATTAGAGTATTAATACTTCTAATTGATTTCAGAAATACTATACTATATGCAGAATTTTATGCTGAATCCAAATCTGTGCAGGAAAACTGGGGGTGCAATTTAAAAAAAACTTAAAACTTTATCATAACTTTTTTTGGGACACCCTGTATACAGCAAAAGGTATTACCCAGCAAAATATTTTTAGGATATGCCCCTCTATAAAACCATGCAATATTTGCATAAAACTTTTTTCATATCTTCGACAACGTCGACGATATTACACTTCCTCGCACTAATATGCCACCCTGTATATTGGGCATTATATTGAAATAGATATAGAGCCCCGACTACACCTAACGTTTTACCTTACTCTTAAGCCCCGTTCTCAGAACTGCGTCGTGTCGCTGGCTACGCAGTTTGACATTTCAAACAAGTTTCAAACAACCAATGAGAGCTGTACTAAATTTAAAATTAACAGCTGTTTGAATTTTGTACAAATCTGATTGGTTCTTTTGATGTGTCGCTGGCGCAGTCGCTGTTCTGAGAACGGGGCTTTACATGTTCAAAATCTATCAAGTAAAAACTTGTGTGGAGACGAAAAAATCTTTTATTTAACCCTGTCCAAGCACAGTTACTAAAAAAAAATATTGGGACATATTTTGAAAAACCAAAATATTCTTAATTCAGACAATAACGTAGCGTCTACCTAACAGCACATTTTTATCCACTGTCTAGGTATTTTTCGTTTGAGTAAAAGCGTTACCATACACGATATCAAACGTCAAAATAAGATAAAGCATGGATAAAGTATTGTGAGAAAAACTATAGTAAACATTTAGGACTATACTAAGCTCTGGAAAATATATGTCAAAACAAAAATCAATATGATACTAATTTATTTTCTTCGTTTTATGCATGGAATGTATAAGTGCAGCAACATATTTAAAATATATGACATGTAGACAGGATATGATAATATCTACCTTAAATTACTTAAATATATTTTTAATCTACTCTATTAGGCAGAATACTTTTCTGTAATTTCTTAGTCGAGCACGAAATCTGAACGTTAGTTTGTTAAGACTAGATCTTAATAATAAAATCTAATAAGTAAAAACAATAGAGACGAAAAAATTTAAGTATCAGTTGCTTTAAGAGGAAAAAAATAACATATAATATATAAAAAAATCTATAAAATAATGAAAGCCAATTATACATATACATATTGTCATACAATTCATATTGGTACTAATCTCATATTCTTGCAACTACTAAAAGTATATATTATTTAAAAACCACTTGTATAAAATAATTTTGAGCTGAACAACAATAATTGGGGATATATCGATATTGCAGATACTCTAACTATATATAAATCTAAAATTTCACTTTCTAAACTCTCAAAATAATAAATTTCTATCTTTCTAATGCTATATACTTTCCCCAACAACAAACATACCTCACCCATCTACGTTAAATAAATATATAAGTAACCTTTCTTAAATATTTTACAGTAACAATACAGTTTTTTTTCGAAACTAGATGATTCACCTAGTTTTCATCTATTACTTTATACACATACATACAAATAATAAGGAGAAAACTAAAATTGTACCCAATTTGCATTGTTTGATGACGATGCACTGAAAAGCAGAAAAAAATTGATATTTTTTAATCGTCTACCCATAAATAAAGACTGTTTAACGAGCCAGGGAAGATTTTGAACAGATGACATTCAAAAAATGACAGAAAATACTATATTATATGATATATAATATATTGTGAATAAAAAATGTATCTTCACGTTGAACAGACTTTTACAAGAAGATCAATAAAAGCTGGCGTGCACGTCATCAAAATATTTGACAAATGTACGTGGCAATGTTGCCACAGCTACTTTTTTACTTTGACTTTTGGCAAAAAAGTCAAACAAAATTCATAATTTTGTCACTGACTGTTCCTTCAATTTTTTTTTAAATTTTTTTAATCTACATTATTACTTTGTCAATGATTATTACACAAATTCTAATTAAATGAAATTATTAGCAAGTTTTCTGAATGAAATCTGAAAAATGTATATAGTATTCACTTTTTGTGAGAAGCTATTCAGTCTGGAAACTGATAATGAGCACAGCAAATATATTTTTTGATAGATATTTTCAAAGCAAATATTAAGAAACAATGCCAATTTTTACCTCTGTTTAACAACAAAAGAAACTCTACTATTCTACCATGATCTCTTTCCTGTTAAAAATAATTGAGTAGAGACGAGATAAGTTACAGTCAAATTTGTCAAAGAAAACAAAAGAATAAAATTGAAAATGACAAATGAAGATTTGCACACAAAAATCTCATGACAACTGGCAACATTGTTAATAGTTTCAACATCTTTAATGAGGTACAGGCCAATTTTTATTGAGTTCCCTATACACATAAATTACTTACTTTGAAGAAGCCGATGTAAATTCACCCCAAGAATCACCTGACACTGTTGTTTCGCTTTTTGGTACATGCGCGGGTGATCCCGATGGAGAAGATCCAGGGGGAGGGGGTAGTTTACCACTAGGAGGTGGTGGTAATAACCCTAAACCACCGGAAGGTGATTTTGTCTTATTTTTTGAATTATTATCCCCACCATCCTTTTTCTAGAGACAATTATGCATCGTAATTACTTATAAAACAATAACTTTATGTACTTACCGTAATTTTCATGTTGATTTTTATAGTTTCGCCCTCTTTAAAGCCTAAATCCAGAGAAGGACCGCCAGCAGGTTCTTCGCTGATCTGTTTTTCTTTCTTTAACCATTTGAAGTGGTCTTGTAATGCCACATTGAGATCAAAAGAATCTGATCTATCTCCAAACCCAATACCAATAAACGCAGTTCTGCCTAAAAAGTTAAGAGTATTATAACATTTAAAAAACAAACAATGGCTGAAGAAATTATACCATTGTCATCTTGTATACGTAGCACAAAATATCTTGAAGAATCGCTAACTGCCTCTATTGCTATGCCTGGATATGTCTCAATAGGACATTTTGCAAACAATTCTCCGCTGTTTTTATCCTCCAACTTAATAGCGAGTTCGTTTCCTTTTGAAATCAGCCTCATTCGTCCAGTCCATGAGGGTTCAGCTAAATTCCAATCTGCAGCACTAAAATACAAAATAAAAATTAATGTGCTCAGTTGTGTTATTAAAGTGTTGTTGACGTTATTAGGATTTACAAGAAATATTGTTTGTTTTCAATTATAATTCGAAGAAAACTCGACAAACATTAGCGGAAGTGGGCGGATTTTTTGTAAATAAAAACAGGGTCTTATTTACAAAACACCTACTTACCGATATCCTCTGTTGGAAGACCTGGGAGGAATGTTAAACACAAACACTTCAGGTTTTACTAATAATACACTTTCATAGGATTCCATATCGCTAAATTAAACACTGAATTTTTATTCGGACAACCAAGATGTTGATAAATTATCATCTGTTATTGACAAACGACTGAAATGACATTGACAAGGAGAGACTTTAGGCCCTTTCAATTTCATTTTTCATTTGAATCGATTGCGTATTAATGACTATGTTCCTAATTTTATATATGACTATGTTGCTATCTTCACAAGAAACTAGACAGTCAGCTGATGTTGATGTCGCTTTTTTCTAACCAACAATGTTTTAAGAATTTATGGGATTTTATGTGGTACTTATTATAAAATCGTTTTCTAATTGTGAGAATAATAGTAATGGACGATGAAACTTTATGTTGCTGTGAATATTATGACTCGTTTAAAGAGCGAAACCATATATTAGCTTGCTGTTGCAACTGTGTAGATTTAGATGAAGCAGTGGATAGGTAACTTGTGTAAATATTTGGCTCTGTAATCAAGAATGATACATTTTTTTAAGATAATTAGTTAAGTATTCATTAGTTTATGTATTTTAGCTTGATTCGAGGTAAAAAAGTTTCAGATAACAATAAAACTGGACTATTAAACACTATGCAAGACAGGCTCAGAGTACCGTGGCGAGGTGGTGCCAAGCAGGTGGCTTTTGATTCAATTCTACCAGTTATAATATTACCTAGTATGCTACTGTTAGGATCGATAAGTCTTTGGTGGACTGTATTCTCATTTACAACAGTAGCAATATTTTTATCTCTAATTTTTAATTTTCTCATAAAGACTATTCCCAACACAAAGTTTTTCTTTGTTTGGACGGTAACTTCGATGGTATTACTCTATTTTATTTTTGAATTTATTGTAATACCATTTCTGGAAATACTGGTAGAAGAGAATATTTTACTAAGTGCTCTGATATTTGGATTTATTATTTGTTTATATACAACAAAGATTCGAGCCAATGAGTTAACATCACTGGGCACAGAAGAGTGTGAAAGTTCAGTAGGAAAAGAAGTTGGTGGTTTTTACAATTGTAGGATTTGTGATAATAAAATCCCTGATAAAGATCACCATTGTGTTTGGTATGTGTTTCAATAAAAAAACTTTTATATAATAAAATATTAACTTTCTTTTAGGTTTGACTGTTGCATAAGTAAGCATAATCAATGCTGCTTCATTGCAGCCTTATTTTTTGCTATTGCAGCCTTGCTTTATAGTTCAAACTTAACACTAACCTCTGTATGCCATCCTTTTGAATTTTACAAAACTATATTGTTGCCAGATGATTGTTCTGATGTATATTACCAGTTCGAGTAAGTAATGTTTAATGCATTTCTTGAATGTATATTTTATGAAAGTAATATTTTTTAGGCTGGCATTATCGTTTGTATCAGCAATATATAGTATTGCCATAGCAATATTATTAACAGTTATTCTTTTGCAACAAATATTTTTGGTGTCTATTGGCATGTCTTTAAAAGAATGGAATAAACTGTCAATCATTTCCAAGCTGTGTCTTGGACTGAATACCAAAAGAATACACAACAGAGGGTTTTTGAAAAACTGGTCAAAAATAATATGTTGGAATAAGTATCAGTATCATCCGCTCAATAGAGAAGTATGATATCATCAGAAAGGACTGAAAAATTAAGCAGCGCTATAATTTGGGCTATATATAATATATAAACTATAAATAGTTGTAGTTTTTTAAGCAAAGTTTTATTTTTGAAATTCAAAAATGCAATAAGTTATTTTTATACTTTTAGTAAAAGTTATCATATAAAATTTCTTGTTTTTTTTCTTTCTCTCAGTCAATAGTTCTTCTCACGTAACTATTCGTCGTTTTGATATCTAGTAACCAAGCATGGCCGAGTAAAAAACCCAACATAAAAAATACATTTTTTACAGTTTTGAAAAAATTTACACAAAGTTAATCATGGTGGCAGAGATAATTACTAATATATTAACTAAAAAATTACTAATAAGTAATTATCTCTGATGGTGGCTTCTACCACATGAGTAAAAATATCGTGGCAAGAACTATAGGGGTAAATGAATATTTTTTTCATATTACATTTAAATACAAATACCCACATACCAACAAAAATATACTAATGTGAAAACTCCTAAAAACCTAAAAATTCTCTAAATAATGGAGTCTATAATGTTAAAAAAAAAATCTTATACGGTTATGTTAAATAGTTGTTTTTAATTTACACAAAAATTACATATATTAACTATATATACAATACAGCGTTCATTTTTTGTCTTTCTAATAAGTTACAAGTACAAAGTGAATTGTAATTTTATAATAAATTTAAATAAAAAAAATGGATGATAAGTGACAGGTGGAGATAAGTTAAAATTTTAAATTATAACGGTGTATGTATCCAGCGACAAGGATTGTGAGAGTGACATCACATGCTCTGCACTTCGCCTAAAAATCGATGCAACTTGTATTATTAAGCAGGCTCACACACTTATTTTTATATGAAAAAGAAAGTGTCAATATACAGGGTGTCTCATAAATAAGGTAGAGTATTTTTAATAAAAAAATGCCCATACAAGGTGACCCAAAAAGCTCTGTATCAGGTTTGGTTAGGTTAGATTTGCTCTACAAGATTTGCACTACATTCTTTTTCAAAAAAATATGCTGATAAGGACAGCGCACATTTTAAAAAAGTTATATAGTGTTTGAGTCTCGAAAGTGGCTCACCCCTATAACTTTTTTATTTTTTTAGTTAAAAAAACGAGATTTGGTATGTTAGTATATGACATAAATTAGGATTGATTGACGTATTCAAATGTATTCGGCCACTTCCGGTTTTACCGGAAATTACTACAACTTTTGATTTTTAAATGACACCCCGGTATTTTTTTACTTTATTCGATAGAAAATGTCACTCTGATATATCATATGTCAACTTTTGACCTTTCGCATATGGTTTATTTGAAATTATAACTTGCGGTTCGTAACGAAAATTTGACTCGAAATACCAAGTGTGTGGTATCAAATTATTCGTAATTCTTTTTCCAAATATGCTAATGAGCCACCCTCGTTCCATTTGAAAAAATTGAGATATGATTAAAAATACGATTTGAGCACTTTCTAACTGGCCAGGACAAGACACTAAAAACATTAGACGACCAAATCTACTTTTCCAAGGCTCCTTGATGAAGAATTAGTGTTTTTAACATAGCCATGGCACTCTAGATTGAATTTTAAAATGCAATTTTTTATTAAGCGAGAATGTCAAAAGTTGACATACTATATGTCATTCTATTCAGAATGTCATTTTCTATCGAATAAAGTATAAAAATACCGAGGGTGCCATTTAAAAATCAAAAGTTGTAGTCATTTCCGGTGAAATAGGAAGTGACCAAAAACAATTGAATACACCAATCAATCCTAATTTATGTCGTATACTAACATACCAAATCTCGTTTTTCTATTTGAAAAAATAAAAAAGTTATAGGGGTGAGCCACTTCTGAGACGCACCCGGTATAAGGTGTTCTACATAAAATACAATGTTGGCAAAACTCTAAGAAATAATACAATATCTAAGAAAATGTTTCTAAAATATGCATGCGCATCCATTGCAATATAAATATAAAAAATATTGACTTGAAAAAGGCAAATAGAAAACATGATTTTTTAGGAGTTTTTTCTGCCACTCTGTAGGAGATTGGTAAGGAAATATATATTTTCTTATCACCCGGTACATTTTTAAACAAAAAAATTGTTTTAAAATCGTTCATGCAACAAGAAATGAAAAATGATAAATTTTCTATAATTATATTTATATATTTTTTAAAACATATCTTAAAACTACATTATGTCTTTTTACACAAGCCCAATTTATAAACAGTAATGCCCGTGACACACTTATAATCCACTTTTTTCGGTAACATTTAGTACAAATTGTGTTTCTAAACTTTAAGGCAGGTCCACACCTGTCAGTCTCACTGCGCCGGTGTGACTGATAGATGAGAACTAGCCCGAGACAGTACAACAGGGCTTAAATTAGACTCAAAAGATTCAAAAAATGAAAACATTCTTTCACAGAATATTTCATATCATCATAAATAACAAGAATTATTATTTAAAATAATAAATTACTGGCGTAAATATCTATTAATATTTACAAGAAATGTTTTTACATACTAATTTTTCGTAAATCAATACGTATAAATTTTTTACCTAAGGACATTGCATGTTATACTGAGAGATTTAGCAATAGTTCTTATTTACTTTTTATTTATATGAACTGATAAAATTAATACTACTGAGGTACATTATTTATACGAATAATCAAAAACCAACAGCAAGCAAGCTTTAGAGAAACTACAGATAAGAACTCTGGGAGTGTTCAAGTAAAAAACTTAATTTACTTATTTATTTTTTTACAAAAGAAAAACTATTTTAATATAAACTCTTTTCTATATTATAAACAAGGCTTACGTGTGTCACTTTGAAGATTTACCTATTTCGTTGGCCTGGTATTTCGGTTTTCCGTGAGTGAACGGCAAATATTTGTACTTGATCATATGCTAAAACAGATATTAGGTTAAAAAATGTCTTTAAATATTAGGTTAAAAAATCTTTATGGATGCTTTATGGCGGGTTCATTTCTTAAAAAGAATTCTGTTTTTTTTTCGCCACTGGGAAGAAAATTTACGGTGATGGTACCTTTTAGGTATATCGCCAATCGTGAAGTTATTGATGTAAATTTGATATTAATATGTTCTACAATTAATGTTCTAACGTTTTAAGTACGGATCGTCGGCTAAATGTTTGAGATCACTTCAATAAAATTATTTATTTTTTGACCAAATTTGAGGTTAGAATATAGCTTTCTCTATTAAGTTTAATAAGAGTGACAAAGAAGACACAGAATTAGTTTAGTTGTCTCTTGCTCGCGTCTGCGCGTATCGCTGGGGGTAACAATGAAATATTGGGCGCATTCAGTAAACACACTGGTAGTCCACCGGTGCAGAAAATTAAATTGAATGCCAATGGTAACTCACCGGTTGATTCACCGATCACTTGAGAGCCTACCGTATTTTGTTTCCGGTTTATTTACGTACCGGTAACTTGATCGTTCAATGAAAAGTTATCGGTAGGTCTTTACCGGTTAATACCGGTGTGTTTACTGAATGCGCCCATTGATAATCGGGATTTTGTTTTATTTATACTTATACCGTATAATCGAAAAAAAATGGCGTCCAGTTGGCTTGGAAATGACGATCGATGACATTTCCCATATAATTTTACATATTAAATGACAGCGATGTTCATTTCATAGCCATCGCTGACGCCGTTTTTATTCGATCATACGGTAATTTCTTATGAATTTTGAAAAATAGCGATAGCGATATTAAGTTGATAAGAATAGATATTACATTTTGATCTGTGTTAAAAGTTGAGAAGAGGATCACGATGCTAAAAGCGTTCGCCGTAACCCAGTTTTGATTGCGTTGGTTACAACATTTTTTTGGGGGGGTTTGTTTTTGGTGTTATTTATGGACGATCCACACTTTTTTCGTTAGAAAATATCATTATAAGTATTCCTCTTCTCAATTCTGATATAATAGAAAATTTTAAAATTTTGATGTACCTAAAAGGTACCAGATCCAAATTTACAAAATAAAAAAGGTATTTTTTGTAAACACCACTGCCTTTAATCCAATGGTGACAAATTTGGGAAAAACTCCAGAATTCTTTTTAAGAGATACTAGGTTGTTAGAAAATGGTTAAAAATGGCATGACTTTTCAGATAACAAGTATATAACCAATAGACACAAGTAAACATACAATAGATACAAGTAAACATAGAGGAGAAATATTCTTTGGTTAGCTCTAGGTTGGTCAAATTATTTCTATTATGATGGCGACTTACTTTGATTTGCCTCTTCATGGTTATACAGAACAACGTAATAAAATACATAACTAGGATTGGCCAAAACACTGGTATATTAAAGCAGTCAAAGAATGTACATATGACTCCAATAATTGTACTTTTCGTTACCGAGTACCAAAATTTAAATTCTGGCAATCGCCTAATAAACGGCCTAAACTCTTCGTTAGCCCTGGTTGGCAATTCTGGACCATTATCTTCAGCTGTAACATGTTAATACATAATATAATAACAAAAAAAATCATTTTTTATAATGTATTTTTTTTCTTAAATTGAATTCTTACCATCGAAGTCCATGGCTGGATCGATTTTTGGCGTGAGGAATGCTATAAATAGGTTAAGATGGTAAATTCCCAATGCGTACGTTATAATGTACCATCCCTGAAATTTAATTATTAATTTAATAACTATAGACTGTCCGGTGAAAATACCACATACAAAAAAATTACAGAAGAAAAAAAAACAATCTACTTTTTATTAAAATGACAGAAACAACTGTCACTGTCATTGGCATACACTCTCATACTATGTCCAGCAAGGGGATGATATTATATAACTTCAACAGAAAAAAATTATAGAAAAAATAGTTTTATTAGAAAAAATCGATATAATTTTAGTGAGTTATTCTATATAAAACGCATATCTAAGTTTTTTTTGATTACTATACAGGGTGGTCAGAAATGTATTCCGGAAATTTCTGGAGCATATTCTGCAGATAAATATAAGTAAAAAAGTTTGCATACATTTATGTCCTAATACGCGTCGTTTCGGAGATACAGGGTGTAGAATTGTAGAAGTTTCATTTTTATTTAGGATTTTTCAAAATAATTTCTGAACCAACGTCGATATTTGGATAAGAATTGGTATCCGAGTGGTTTTTGATGAGAAATTTGATTTCAATATCGATTATCGATGATTCCAAGTTGTAGGAGGCGCCACCTGCATGTTTAATAACTGTTTTGAAGAGTACTATAATAATAATTTTTTCGCCCGTACTTGTATTACACTACTGAGTGAAAAAAATATAGTTTCCGCAATATTTTTAATGTAAAAAAAGTCTCTTGGTAAAAGTCACTACGAGCAACTGTTTTCAAGATATTATTTGAATGAAATGATAAATTTCAGAATTTCTTATTTTTAATCATAATTTTTTCTAGAAAAAGGTATAAAACAATTTCTCTTGAACATATGGCACAAAAACATTTACAAATTCATTATTTCAGTCTAATAACTATCTAGTCAACATGTTTAATTTTTGTCAATGATAACATTTATTGATTATTTCGATTCCAAATATAACCATTCATCGTTCATCGTAGCGATTTTAACCAAGACATCTTTTTTAGGTAAAAAACGGCTTAAATGTAAATTTTTTTACTCAGTATTGTAATACAGGTACCGACGAAAAGTTATTACTCTTCAAAACAGTTAAAAAATATGTAGGTGACGCCCTCTTCAAGTTAGAGACATATTGACATTGAAATCGAATTTCTCATGTCAAAAAACTCCCAGACATCAATAATAATTGTCAATCAAATATGAATGGTAGTTCAGAAATTATTAATAAAAAACAAATAAAAATGAAACTTCAACGCTCTGTATCTCAAAAGCATTTTAGGACATAATTTTATACAAATTTTTTAACTTTTTTTATCTGCAGAATATGTTGCCGAAGTATCCTGTTTACATCTCAGACTACCCTGTACATTCAAGCAACTTTTCAAGATTTAGTTTTTAACAAATTATTTTAGTATATCAAATTCCATGCAATAACTAACTAATAAACTACTGGAAGAAGTGGTGGAATAATTATTTAATAAAATAGCCTAAAAATTGTTTTTTTTCAAATTTTACATTTTTTATTAAAATATTTAACCCAGTATATATTTGCATATTCCAAAATCTGTCAAGACGTTCAGTTGAATAACTGTATGAGTAATATAACGTTACCCGATAGTTAAACCTTCACCCATGTACGAATATTTACGAAAAAATTATACCTGAGCAATAATAATTCGAGCCATAAAACCCATGAGAAGTAAAAATGCAAAAAACCACCTGGCCTTGCGCCAAGGCACCGTCCGGTCCACCACTCCTTGGTACCACTAAAACACACAGAAAACACTACTATCATATGGTACCTGGTTCAGAATGATGCGCAAGGCGAATAGCAGCAACAGAAGTATGGTACAAGACCAACGAGCTCTGCTGTGAGGCGTCCATCGGTCTAGAGCAGCTTGATGTATCTGACATAGTAAGGCAATTATAAATATGAACTAATCGTGTCTATTCACACACTTTTATAAGTTTGAACCGTCTTTTATTCTAATAAAATCATTACAAAAACTTATGTGAAGGGGAGTATCCGTCACAGTAAGCTTTGTTTTAAACCTTAGATAAAACTATTTTGATAATAGGATGGGCTGCAAATGAATATTGTGATATTTAGTACTTACTTGTGATAATCTCGTAAATATTTGAGATATTTTGCTTTTACTACTTCCGGATCCTAGTAATTCTTCTTCCATTATTTATATTCTCTTAGATACTAAAAATACTTTGCAAATTAACAATCGAACAATGGCACATTTGGGTTAAATTGTCAACAGTGAATTAGTGCATTTTGGGGTGAGTAAAATTGGTTAATCTTATCTGTACCTGCTTAACGATAAAATATATAATTGAATTAATACCAGTTCATTTGAAAAATAAATTAATACTCGAGGAAATCCATTTTGGACACGTCGATTCATTAAAATCGGCTTTTTAGAAGTTTATGACACTTGTGACATTTATTACAACAGCAGGCGCTTTCGAGTAGGGTACAAAATAAATTGGTTATACTGCTCATATATGACACAACATTTATATATGACATAACCTTGGTTTAAAGTGAAGTTAGCTTCACAAACTATAACCTAAAATTTTGATTGAAATTTCTTAACTTTGGCGCTATTTTTTGTTAAAAATTAAGAACGTAAATAAAGCATATCAAATTCTATTTATGTGGTAAATTAAGAATTTATTAGCCTAATAATTGACTAGTTTTTATTATGGAAACTGTGAAAAGGTTGTCTTTGAGTACCACTTTAAAAGATGCACGAATATTTGATGATGTAAGTTGAAATAAATAGCCTGAAGTCTCATTCCACTACAATAAACATATACTCCTACTATTTTTAGGATGCTTGGGAAGAAAAAGATGGTATTCAAATCAAAAAGGAAATCAAACAGGAACCAGAGGATAACATAGGCTCTGTAGATGATAGCCTTGAAGAAGGTGAGTTAGAAAAGACTCTTTTAAACCCTATCAAGAAAGAAAAGGAGGAATTAAGAACGCCATCACCACCACCGCCTACACCTCTAATAACTACTATTAAAGAGGAACAAACATCACTTTTCTCACTAGAGACCATTGAAAAATTTAAATCAGACCCAGAAAATTTATTCAACGATTCACCTTACAACAAGGAAATTTTCAGTAAGCTCCAGATCAAAGAAGAGACACCAATAAAGTCTGAAGTAGAAGACTCAAATTTAGTTTCAAGAAATTCTTTGAAAAGTGCCAAAAGAACGGTTTTTACTAGGAATTCTCCTTATAAAAGATGCGATGATGGTGCACAGAGGGTGTCAGCAATGAGTAGATTGGGGCCTAAAGTTGATAATACCGACAAATCCAGGAATCGGAACTATGAAACAGATTTGGCAGTAATAGCAAGGCGGGAAAAACAAATTGAATATGGAAAGAACACTATTGGATATGACAATTATATTAAAACAGTTCCTAGGTAGAACACTATAAACTATAATATGTACATAAAATCATAAATGAATCAATATGTGTTTTTAGGGAGGCTAGAAAACCAGAAGATCCACAAACACCAAATAAGTACAAAAAATATTCAAGAAGAGGCTGGGACGGACTTATCAAACAGTGGAGGTTAAAATTGCATAAGTACGATCCGGCAGATGATAGTAGTTAGATTTTAGTTAAGTTTCAAAATCTAGATAAGAATATTTGTTTTGTATTGACTACGAATAGAATTTTATTTTTAAGTATGAAAAAAAGTCTGATTGCTGAAATAGATATCGTTTTGATAATTAAAGTCAATATTTATCTAATTTGGAATTTGTTTTCAATACATTTAGACTATGGTCTCACATGCAATTTTGAGTTGAAGGATTATTTCGTTGCATGAGTTATATCTGAATCCTTAATTCTTCCAATTTACAAAAATTACCTTTTAATAAAGTTAATTTATTACGCAATGTATCCAATATTGTTTTTAATGCATATATATTTTCTTTTTATTTCCAGAGTACATACACAAACTATTTAAAATCTATTTTTGTAATGACAAATCGGTTAAGTTGGGTGATCAAATAATCGGCCGTCTCGAAATTGCACGTAAGCTCCTAGTTTGTCCTAGTGTTATCCTTTATTTATTATGTAAAAAATAGAGTTTTTTTGCCAGCTTTTTGAAAAATTAAGTACCTAGTTAAAAATTATATATTTGACAATAATGATATTTATATGTTAAAAATATATTTGAAATGTAATAAAATTATAAATCTAGCATAATTAATAAAACAAGTTAAACGATTTTTTAAAATAAATCCATGTTCTTTTTTTAAATTCTCTAGAACGCCTTGTAACAAAACATTTATTCATTTGTTTTAACAAAAACTGTAAATTGTTAATAGACTATAATTTTGTCTGCTTATTTCTCTAAATTTATTAAAAAACATAATTTTAACATTATTTCATTTAATTATGAATCTTACAAACGACCCAAGTACTGTGCTGACTATAAGGGGCCACCAAAATTTTTCAATTGATCAAGAAACGATGGAAAATATTGCGGAACGCAGTTACGCCAATTTGTTGTGTTTATTATACAGACATGGAAAACTTGGGGCCGCGTATTTTAATTCCGAAGAACAAACGGTTTGTATATATGTTTTTTATATACATAATTATATGTATACATTTTTATAGGGTAGACCTGTGGCCCATTAGTGCGAGGAAGTCCAATATCGTCGTTGTTGAAGATTGGATAAAATTTTTTATATAAATGTTGCATAGTTGCATGGTTTATAGGTATAAAGGTACATATCCTCAAAATTTTTGTTGTATATAGGGTGCCCCCAAAAAGTAATGGTGAAGTTGTAAGGTTTTTTAAATTCTGCATAGTACACTATTAATTTTATTTGAAGCACTTTATGGTGTTGTCATAGACATATTTTTCTAAATACCAAAAACAGAAAAAATGGAATAAATCCGCCAAGGAATATTTATATTATCTTATACAGAGTATTTTTTGTGGCGTCGCCAACATCACAATATTTAAAATGCTATATCTATATTTTCAAATGCAACATCCTGTATATTATTTTTCTTTTGGATGCAGAATTAAAAAATGAAAATTTTTTGTATTTAAAGTGTTTCTAACTTATTAACGATTTTGCAGCTATTCTGGCTCTTACGTTCTACCCTTGTTCTACATATGACCCTTTCAACGGTAAAATACCAGACAAAAATCAGGCGGCTTTGGTAAAAATTTACTGTTGAAAGAGGCATATGTAATACCGTATGATCGAATAAAAACGGCGTCAACGATGGCTATGAAATGAAGATCGCTGTCATTTTATATGTAAAATTATATGGGAAATGTCATCGATCGTCATTTCCAAGCCAACTGGACGCCGTTTTTTTTCGATCATACGGTATAATACCGCGAATATCTGCGAAACCGTAAAAAATTTAGAAATACTTTAAATACAAAAAATGTTCACTTTTTAATTCTGCATCTGAAAGAAAAATAATATACAGGGTGTTGCATTTGAAAAAAATAAGATATATAGCATTTTAAATATTCCGATTTTGGTGACGCCATAAAAATACTATGTAGAGGATCAGTGGCGGATACAGAGGGGGGGGGGCCATGGGCCGAAGGCCCCTCTAAAATCTATAAATTAAATTAAAAATTAGGCTTTTTGGTTAAAAATGGCGTCCTAAAAAGCATATTCTACATTACTTTTTATTTGCCCCCCCCCTCTAAAATAAATTCCTGTATCCCTATAGAGGATAATGTAAATTTTTCTATGCGGATTTATTCTGTTATCCTTGTTGTTTAGGAAAATATAGCAATCAAGTATTAATAAAGTTATATTCACTCCAGGTTTTTATCACTTTTCGGATATACCGTTTTTAATCAAAGCTTTAGTTAATTAAAAATAGCATTGCAACTCCGCATAGTGCTTCAAACAAAAATAGTGAACTATACCAGCACACAGTACCAGCATTTTATACTGAATTCAATTCGGTACAGAAAAATGGTGCTTTTACAATTTAAAAAAAAACTTAAAACCTTTACTATTATTTTTTTTGAAACCCTGTATAATTAAAATCTTTTACGATATATTATGTACCTTAAAATTATAAATCATGTAACATTTGTGTAAAACTTTTTTCGCATCTTCGAGAACAACGTCGAAAATATACAGGGTGGTCCGAACTGTATTCCGGAAACTTCGGCGGCATATTCTGCAGATAAAAATAAGTAAAAAAGTTCGTATAAATGTATGTCCTAAAATGCTTAGTTTCGGAGATACAGGGTGTAGAAGTTTCATTTTTATTTCAATTTTTTCCAAATAATTTCTGAAGTAACGCCAATATTTGGATGAAAATTGGTGTCTGGGAGTTTTTTGACATGAGAAATTTGATTTTGATGTCAATATGACTCCTACTAGTAGAGGGCGCCACCTACATATTTTTAACTGGTTTGAAGAGTAATAACTTTTCGTCCGTACCTGTATAAAACTACTGAGTAAAAAATTATACATTTACGACGTTTTTTACGTGAAGAAGGTCTCTTGGTAAAAATCGCTACGAGTAATGGTTTTCGAGATATTTGGAATCGAAATTATCAATACCCGTCATCATTGACATAAATTAAACATGTTAACTAAATAGTTATTAGACTGAAATCATAAATTTGAAAAGTTTTTGTGCCAAAAGTTCAACAGAAACTGTTTTATCATCGTTTTTTGCAGAAAAATTTATGATTAATTTAAAAAAATAAAAATTTCCCAAACTTATTATTTTAGTAAAATAGCTATCTACTCAACGTGTTTATTTTTCGTCAATAATGACATATATTGTCTATTTCCATTCTAAATATCTTAAGAACGGTTGCTCGTAGCGATTTTTACAAAGATATATTTTTTACGCAAAAAGTCACAGAGATGTATATTTTTTCGCTCGGTAATGTTATACAGGTACGAACAAAAAGTTAGTACGCTTCAAAACAGTTAAAATACATGTAGGTGGCGCTCTCTACTAGTAGGAGTTATATTGACACCAAAATCAAATTTCTCATGTCAAAAAACTCTCAAACACCAATTTTTATCCAAATATTGACGTTACTTCAGAAATTATTTAGAAAAAATCGAAATAAAAATGAAACTTCTACATCCTGTATCTCTGACAGTAAGCATTTTAGGACATACATTTATACGAACTTTTTTACTTATTTTTATCTGCAGAATATGCTGCCGAAGTTTCCGGAATAAAATTCGGACCACCCTGTATATTCTACTTCCATGCACTCATGGGCCACCCTGTATATGAAATTTTAGTTGAATTTGTACGAAGAAATGTGCGATACCAAGCCGCAGTATTTAAGATCGGCATCCATTTTGAGAGAGGTAGCGCCTAAATACTTGTTGACATTTGGCAATTTAACTGAGGAATATGTCAAAGCCATTGTACATTTTATTCAGTCTGCTAATGAAACGGTTGTTACTTCTGACAGTCTTGAATTGCCTGAGAACGTGTTTTTGACTTCAATGAACGATTATTGTAAGAAGAGGGAATAATTTACAGGGTGTCTCATTTTCATCTGTTTTTACATCAGGTTTTCTCGTTTATTTTGTTCTGTTCTCGTAAATTACTGTGCTACTTTTTTATGAAACTAAAGATGCTACGTAAAAGCTTACTTCGGGTTTCTCTTATTACCGATTCTGAACCGTCCTAGAACTATGATGCGTATGCGCAGAAGGAAATATGAAGACATTATTTCATTTGCGCGTGCGCTGCAGAGTTCTAGGACGGTTCAGAATCGGTAATAACAAGAACCCGAACAAAGCTATAGATTTGGCCTAGCCCTCTTAGTTCCTGAAATACAAGGTGAATTTAAAAATGTTACATTTTTTTCGCACCTCTCATATCTAATTTACCTTATTAGTTTAGAAAGAAAACTCCTAACAAGGAAACTCCTAAACTATAAACTCCTAGAAAACTTCTGGCAAAGCAAATAAAATAAAAAAATAATAATATACAGGGTGTCCCATTTTAAAAAACACAAGTTTAAGTCATATTTCGAAAATGACAGCTCCCAGGGGACAGCTCCCAAAAAAAGGCTCTATCGTTAAAATAGTTAAGCCAGAGTGGATTCTACGTAAAAAACTCTACGGGACACAGTCTTCACCTTTTCGATAAGTTATAAGATACGAAGAGTTTCAAAAAATGCAACATTTTAAAATTCGCCCTGTATTTCAGGAACTAAAAGGGCTCTGAATCTGAGTGTAGCATATCTTTAGTTTCATAAAAAAGTAGTGTAGTAAAGTGAAAACCGCATCTTTGTACCTCTACTTATAAAAGAGAAACCCTGTAAAACACACGAAAATGGAACACCCTGTACAGTATGAGGGAAATATTTTAAAATATGTTTTTGTATATTTTAGCGTACGAAGTATGTAAAACCATAGTCCAAAATATCAATGTGGCTTCGAATCATTTGGAACGATCAGATGACGCAAAACAAGAATTGTATTTTCACTCTATAATTAACTGGGATCACAGATTGTCCATACAGGCCTTGGCAGCATTGTATAAATTTATAGAAACACATTCCACCATGTTCAATTTTCAGGCGGGCAGTGTATGCATCATGCATATTAATCAAGTTACACTGTGAGTTAAGTAAACTCTTATCTTCCTATGTTACACACAGAGTTCTATTTTTTTCTTCCCTTTGCTTGATTTAATTTCAACCATAATTACAGTTGAGAATCTTTGGTGTTACAACAGGAAATAAAACACTAATTTACCACAATACACCCAAACATTTTACTTTTAACACTGGTAGAAGTAAGGTGTTGTGGTGTATTCTGGTGAATCAGTGTTTTATTTTGCTTTTCCCTATACAGGTTGTTAACTGGACAGTTACTTATAGGGGAACAGAATGGCAACACCGCCTATTGAGAACGCATGCACTTATAGGGTTCTCTATCGACTCGTCCCATCGCGTCGTCTATCGACGAGTGGGCCGATATTGCCATATTTCAACCATAAAGCTCTTGCCGCGAGTAATAAACAAATTAACAACCTGTATAAGTAGGTAATACAATATTAGGGATAAACATATAACTTATGTAACCTACATATATAGGGTGGCCCATTTTTCAGTAGTCTTATTATATTTTAACAACGTTTTTTTTAGGAAAAATCACGTGCTAATAGACAATGCCAGTTTCAAGACTCTAAAAATTTTCTGCCAAAAATCGCACGACGCTGCATTTAAAAGAGGTGAAGAGTCAAGCTCTCGCGAAGGCTTAAGCATTTATAAACTGTTCTTGTCATCTTGTAAATCCACTTTGGGGAAAGCTCATTTAAGGTAACCATTCAGAATTTTTATTTTCAACATTTTTTTGTCCTGCTATTATACAGTTGACCACTAGGTGGCCCATTAGTGTCCAATATCGTCGTTGTCGACAAGGATATGAAAAAAGTTTTATATAAATGTGTGTTTTATATAGATGATAATATAGGTGCATATCCTAAAAATATTTTGTTGTATACAGGGTGTTCCAAAAAAGTAAAGATAAAGTAAGTTTTTTTAAATCGCAAGCCCCATTTTTCTGTCCAGTACTAGGTTCAGCATAAAATACTGCATATAGTACGACTATTTTTGTTTGAAGCACTATACGGTGTTGCCATGCTATTTCTTATTTACTAAAACTTTCATAAAAAGCAGTATATCCGGAAAATGGTAAAAAACTGGAGTGAATTTAACATTATTAATACTTGCCTATATGCCTATATTTTTCTAAACACTAAGAATAACAAACTAAATCCGTCAAGGAAAGCTCACATTATCTTATACAGGGTATTTTATATGGCGTGGCTTATTTCCTACGCTATATCTCAATTTTTTTAAATGCAACACTCTGTATATTATTGTTCTTTGAGATGCAGAATTAAAAAACGAACATTTTTTGTATTTATTAGCGTTCCTAAATTTTTAACGGTTTTGCAGATATTCGCGATATTATATTACATATGACACTTTCAACACTGTATATTTTACTATTGAAAGAGCCATATCTATATAACATAAAAGCGCGAAACAATACACCTTCCAATACAATTTAAAAAAAAATAAAACTTTATCATTAGCTTTTTTAGGACGCCCTGTATAAAACAAAATATTTTTAATATATGCCTCTTCATAACCATGCAACATTTATATAAAAACTATTTTCATATCTTCTTCAATATAGACGTTATTGGAATTCTTCGCACTAATGGGCCACCCTGTATATAAATATTTACAGGAATATTCTGTTATGTCCAATCAATCAAATCGAGGAGCTCAACAAACGTTTGGACTTCATAAGTTTTGTTCAGGACCCGAACAATAGTGATTTTATCTCGAATATTCACGATAATGTTAAACATTTAACAAATTTGAACACTTTGAGTGAAATTTTGGAGAAAATTTATAATGCCAGAGCTAGTAGCAGTAATTGGAAAACACTTTACGACGTAAGTAATGTCTATCAACACTTTTTGGAATAGGACCAGGGTTTCTGCACATATTGTCTTTGAATATATTTCTTCTGTAATATGCCTTGTAGACTATGATGCATATTGTTTTTATCAACGACATCAGTAAATCGTACAGGAACAAAAATACTTTATTAAATGAATTGAACGAAACTGTGACAGAGAATTTATATGGTTTGCAAGACACTATAAACAAGGCACTGGATTTTAGTGTTGATGTCAGACGGGGTAGACCTGCTATAAAATTTGGTTTAGATGATGATTTAGACGCAAGTATGAATATTTTATTTATTTATTTTTTAATATAGGGATATAGTCTGTCCAACGCACAGATATAGAGGTAGGGCGAATGATCATATAAGATTTATCAGCTGTTATTACTTATTGATCTCCCCTGAAGACCTAAGTTAAAGAACATTTTTGGATGCGTACTCGTCGAAGCTCATTCTCCTTACCTCTATATCCCTGGATTAATACAAAAATGAATTCGATAAATTGGTCTATTTAGAGCTGTTACGAAGACAGGATATCTCTAAACATGTCAATGCAGCTGCTAGATGTGCTCTAAATGATTTACCTCAATTTGTAAGCGAGTGCAAGGTTGTATACTTACCGGAAATGGGCCACCTGGTGGCTATTAAGGAATGGGAACCTAACTGCGACCAGTCTGCTTTTCAGGACTTGGGATACCAAGTTGTGGTAAAACGCTTAATTGTTTTTTAGAAACATTTTTTGTCATGTTGGAACTTATTGTATTTTTCTAGTTTTCTATTGGAGGTACAATTCATTACAAAACTCCTATTTGTGTAGGTAAGTAGAATACAACTTATTTTTTTTTAAATTGAACAATATTAGTTCAATACATTGAATAAAAGAGTAAAATAAGTTAGGAGTATTAAAATTACAATAAAAAAACGACGTCAAAGACGGCAAGGAAATAACAATCGGCGATAATTTTGACGAATTCAAGCTCTAGGCGTTGCCCGTACCCTTTTTTACTTTTTAATGGCGTTTACTACCAGTTGGCCTTAAGAAAGGTTAGGTTAGGTTTATCTATTTTTATATTGAGTAAAAATAATTTTTAAATGGTGTAGAATTCGACAAAAAATAATTTTTTGGAATTAGATTTGTGCGTCTGGAAACGTTCGATTCTTTTTTAATCTTTCTATTATTAGTTTTAATTTTTGACAAGTTTTATATAAATTGACGTCTAGAGATTGACCCTGCCAAAATTATCATCGATTGTCATTTCCCAGCCGTATTTGACGCCATTTTTTTTTATCGTACGGTATGAAAATATAATTCCTTTTAGAAATGGATAGAAGACTGGGAGATATAAATGGAGAAATTATTGATCACGAAAATAGAATTCTAAGACGTTTGGCGGGATTTGTACTGAAATATAACAGAGATATAAGAGAACCTTTAAGACTAATTGCCCTAATGGACTGGTAACTTCTATATACTGTCCTACAACTCTTTAACCCAATGTTTTTGCATATTTTAATTCCAATCTTATACCAATTAAAAAAAAATCAAAATCAAAGTCTATTATAACATCTAAGCAATGGCTGGTTGACACTCATTAGTCCTAATGTCAAAAATACGAAAATTATTTATTTTAAAATAACAATTCTTATATTTTCTTTAGTTTGATAGCTATGGCGAAAGTATCCCAACACAACAATTACGTTAAACCAACTTTAAACAAGGACAACGTACAAGAACTTGTGAAATGTCGTCATCCACTTATGGAGCGCATTCTGACCAGTTTTGAACCCAACGATTACTATTCTGGGGGTTCCCACTCCCACATGAAAATTATCACAGGTCCGAATGGCAGTGGAAAGAGCATCTACTTGAAACAAGTGGTTCTAGTAGTTTATTTGGCTCACATTGGCTGTTATGTACCGGCAGAACGAGCCAACATTGGCATGGTACACAGTATCCATTGTTGTGGACAATCTCAAGAGTCTGCTGCAGTAAGACTGTCATCTTTCATGATTGACATAGCTCAGGTAATCTAGTATTAGACGAACCATATGCATTGATTTGTTTTGATCCAGTATATACAAGTAAAATTTAAACAAATCGTTCATTTTCAGAGATTATTTCGTTTTGTTTATTTATATTATATGAAATACTCGAATTATGGAGATAAACTTATTCTTAATTTTAGTCTTCCCAGATACTTCACTATGCTGCGCCAAGTTCCTTAATCTTGTTGGACGAATTTGGTAAAAGTACCCTGGCTGAAGACGGCATAGTTTTGCTGGCAAGTTTTTTGAAGAAATTCCTCAGCCAAAACGAAATGTGTCCCCATATTATTGTGTCCACGCATTTCGCAAAACTGGCCACCTTACTACCCGAGAATAGATACTTGGAATATTACAAAACAGACCATGCCTTCCGCGACGGCACATTTTGTTTCTTGTACCAGATATCGAAAGGTCAGAAGGACTAATTATATCAGCCTAAACGCAGTCTAAAGTACTTACTTCCTGATTTAAAGAAACATTTTTTTTATACTTCAGATATTTTGTTCAATTTTGGTATCTGGTTTCCAGGTATAAAGGCAGTTTATTTTCCTATTTGAAACCACTAGCGTCCGTACAAACACACTCCTGATAAAAATAAATGGTACGCTACTGCTTTTTCCAAGAAAATATTTTTTATTGATAGTTTTTTCTTCTGCATTGGACGGTTGTCAAGAAAAAAAATTTAAATCAACTACAATGCTCAACTACATGGCTTTAATTTTCTGTATAATTTTTCTCGAAAAACCTTTTGATGTACAAGAAGAAAACTCAAGAGATCAATTTTGTTAAAAAATCATTGACAATTAAGAGAAATAAAATCTTAAAAAAGCAGTGGCGTACCATTTGTTTGGTTTAGCAAATAATTGAGAGGTGTGTGCGTACGTCACTGGTTTCAGTAGTAAAACAATAGTTAATGGAAATAAACTGCTTTTATACCTGGACACCACATACTAAAATTGAAGAAAAATATGAAGTATTTTCCGACATATTGCGAAAAATTCGACTTTTGTTTAAAATTGTAACACTCTGTAGATTAGAAAGGAAGTACTTTAGACCCCATGTTAAACTGAACACATAATGAGGAATCATGTCCTAATTTTTTAGACTATTTATGAAACACCTTGTATAAGACAGTATGAGTTTCTTTTTTTTCAGGAACTTCAAAGAGTTTTGCCTTTGAAATCGCCTCAGCTGTTCTAGGCGATGATATCATCCAACGTGCCAAACAATATTATCATTGTTTACAAAATAACGTTCCCATGGATCCTCAAAAATATCAATATTTTAAAAAACCCACCTAAAATATTGTCCAATCTTAAAAAAATTGATGTTTTGTAGTCCACCTGTTAAAATATGTTGACAGTTAAGTTTTTAGTTTTAATATTGTAATACTTTGAAAATAAATAAATACCATTGGTTATACAACAATATTTTATTAATCAGGTGAAAATCAATAGGTTAAAAAATCGTTCACATACTAATAATCGTCCCCGCGAGACACCACCTCCTTACAAGTCGGACGCAGCATGATAGTGTGCTCAAATTGGGCAGTGTAACAACCTTTAATGTCGCACAGAGGAGGGTAATCATCTACTATACCTTTGTCGCACAGGTCCTTGAGCGCCATCTGGTATTTGGTAGCACCAGCCCTATCCAACCATCGTTTGCAGAACGCCAAAGTGCCGAAGTTCTTGTTGATTACATTGAGCAGGGCTTTGGATGACTGTAAACTAGAAATTAGAAGTGATTTAGTTTAGTTGTTCTGTAAAATAAAAAAACAACCAAACCAAACCAACTTACCGTAAAGGTACATAAGGTACGTCAAAGTTCTTCATATAATGAGAACATTCCATGTCATCATGGACTACTCCTTTACCAGTCGAACCAAAAGTTTCGATGGCATAAAATTCATTTTCTTCCATGACAGTTGCTTCACCTCCTTTAACTATAGGGACAGTTTTGCCTGCATGTATTCCTTAAAAACATCTCAGTTTAGACACATAAGAATTTCCAATAATATACAGGGTGGCTTATTAGTGAGCGGAAGTCCAATATCGTCTTTGTTGACAAAGATATAAGTTTTTTTATATAAATGATGCATAGTTTATAAAGATAGCATATTCTCAAAATATTTTGTTGTATATAAGGAGTCCCAAAAAGAGTAATCATAAAGTTTTAAGTTTTTTTTATTTAATTTTGGGTTCTTGGGGGACTTTATCAACAATATTGAATTTCCACATATTAATGGACCACCCTGTATTATAACCTTGCTTACTGTATGGTGAAATTGAATGTCCATTAAGATTGCGAATAGATTTGACTTGATAAGTTTTACCATCTAATTCAACTTCATACGATTCCATAACCTCTTGAATCTGTGCTCCTATTTCACACAACTGTACATCGATACCTGCAGCTTTTATGCCAGTATTAGTGGCATCCCTAACTGCTTCCACCAGTTTATCATATTTAGGATTGAAAGTATGCGTGAAAGCGCAATCTATTATTCTCCCATTAATATGTGTACCAAAATCAATCTTTACTACATCATCATACTCTAAAACTGTCTTATCACCAGCATTTGGAGTGTAATGTGCCGCACAGTGATTTCTGGAGCACCCAGTAGGAAATGCTAGACCCGCTTTTAAACCATCTTCGCCAATCAACTTGCGAGCTACACCTTCTAATTCCTCACAAATCTCGATCATTGTCATCCCAGGTTTGATCCATTTCTGTATATGTTTTCGAGTCTGAAATAGAATTTATGCAATTATATCATGATTTAGTGGTTAAAAATATAAATATTACTTGTCTATGTGCTTCAGCCGCTAAGCGAACTTCATTATAAATATCATTATGCATTCTATCAATTGCCTTCTTTTCTTCTGAAGTAAAACGATCTTTTGCGGTTCTATTATCGTTGTTAGCACCATATTCTTGGATTTCCCCTATAGGAAACGCTCCAGTGGGGAACAGTTCAACGATAGGTAGAGAAGGGGGGTCTGTTTGGGTGGTCTTGCCACCCTTTTTGCGATTACGTTTCTTTTTCTTCTTTTCCCCGTCTTCATTTCCCTCGGCAACACCGTTCTCGTCAGGTACCGGCGTTTCTACAGGCTCTTCACCGTTTGCGGCATTTTCTGCCCTACCTGAAAATATTAAGCAATTTAATATTTGACGGAAATTATCGTCAATAAAAACTTACCGGTCTTTTTTTTCTTCTTTTTCTTTTTGTTCTTCTTCGCGTCCGCGGCCGAATCATCTATATTGTCGATTTCCTTTTCATTTTGATTCTCGTGCTGATCATCCTCTTCCTTAATTTCTGTTTTCAAAGCAGCCATTTTTTCCAAAATTTAAAAATATATTTTTGCCATTTCATTTGTCTCTTGTCACATGAATTACGTCATTATCGATTCGTTGTAAAGTTTTCTGTAATCCCTGCTAGTTCTATGTATTGTATAGAGATGGCACAATTATAGGTCACGTGAATTACTGGTTGCCTGTGCAGTTAATTTGAAGATATTTAAAAATAAAAAGATATTTAAATTGATTTAAATTAATTTAATTAATAATATAATGGAGATAATTGATAATTTAAAATACGGCTTAATAGGAAACAAGACACTTTTTAATTAGGATTAATTTGTTTTTTACAAGGAGCGTACTATGTAACAAAAAACATGTTTTTTTAAGAAACAGATTTTATTTAAATTCGTGTTATTTCCAGTTGAAAATATAAAAGAATAAATTTTTGACGAGATCTGTGACTAGCCGACTGAAAGAATAACTTTTCTGGTATACTTGCGAACCAATTATTGGTGAATAACAGACATTATATTTTCCTGGAAGCTGCAAATATAGAAATTTATTTTTGTATTTTAAAAACTCGCACAAGAAATAAATAATACATAATATTCTTTATGGCTTTAAACTTTGCTCATTAGTATTAAGTGAATGACGCAAAAAATTAATGACATCTTTGTGGAAACGTGTTATGGGTTGAGCGTACCTTTGCAGGAGAAAGTACCACTAGACTTATTAAGTCTTCTTTGCCGAGGTCAGCAGTAAGTAGCGGTCAACTGGTAGTACTGGCAGTGCCAAGAAATGAAAATTATGAAATTCTAGTAAATATTATTCAGAGAAATTAGTTAGAGAGTACACTAACGTTGAAAATTAGTTCTTCTTCAGTAATTTAGAGGTAGGTGTAGTTTTATTACATTCTTTTCTACTTTGTATATAAAATTTAAGTAATAATATAATTAATGTTAGGATTTTTTGTTTATTAACTAAATAATGATTGACTATACATATATATTGACCTAGTAAAATGTTTATATATTCATAGAAAATATAAACTAATTTTATGTTATGTATGCATAAAAATACAAAATACCTACTGCTAAATACAGTTATTTTATTTATAAATTCTTGAATTTCTTTGTAATATTAAAATAAGAGTGTTATAAGACCTTTGATTAGGTGTGAAATAACCAGAAAAAAAATTAAAATTAAACTTAATTATTTTTCACATACTTACATACATAATTATATTTTTATTTGCTAATGAGAATGCTATTAGACTAATAATCAACAGGTTTTTTTTCTAACAATTAATGAGTTTAGTAAAACTGAACCTTATTCTAGGCCATAAATTGCTTTGTGTATGAATAACATAATTTCCTAATATAATATCAACTGAGTAAAATTCATTTGAAATTAGTTATGCTTAGAAAAATATATTTTTGCTTTGTATGACGACTTAGGTTCATTAAAAACGATTTAATTCATTATTTAAAAGGGATATTCAAGAACCTATTAACAAGAAAATAAACAAGTAATTTAGTTTTAAATTGTAGTTCTTGCAAATAAGTATTTCTTTTTTCAGAATGAACATTTTAGGCCACGATATCTGTCCTATTCTACAAGCATTAGCTGTTGTACTTTTAGTTGTTGTTATCACTGTTGTTTCATTGATTAAATTTTATAATTGTATTACTTGCGGCTATTTCAGGTAAGTTTTAATAGTTAATTACCAAAAAATCTGATAATCTCTCCACTTTGTGACCCCCGTGTATTCGAAAAAAAACGGCGTCAGTGATGGCTATGAAATGAAGATGGTTATCATTTTATGTGCGGAATATCATCGATGTTCATTTCCAAGTCAACTGGACGCCGTTTCTTTTTCGATCATACGGTATTTTTATCATAGCTCGTTGGTGCCCTAAAATTTGAAGAGTATTGTGGTGGTTTCAAACAGGAAAATAAAATATCAAATAAAAAATACTTATTTATAAACTTTCAAACAGCAAAATAAAATAAGAAATATATATTTGCACATGCCCTGTGCGCCGAAGTATGATAAATATTGACTTTAATGATTGTTTATAGATATTTTACTATTTACTGGTACACTTATTCAATTTTCTCGTTTTGATATCTTTATATCTCTGCTATAACACAAGCCACGCCAAAAACAATATTTGAACTTAATTATAGATTATTTTGCTAGATTTTCTATAAAATGGTGATGTGCATGAATCTATGCCATAAAAGTTGTATGCTTATTAAAGATTTGCAATTTTTTTACTTTTCAAGGCAAAACGTGAAAATGAACGGAAAAACAGTTATAGTAACCGGTGCTACAGGGGGAATAGGCAAAGAAACTGCCAGAGAGCTTGCCAAAAGAGGAGCCAGAGTCATTATGGCATGCCGAAATCCGGATTCCGGAAAAGCAGTTAGAGGTAAAACACCCAAAACATAAAAAAGAATGTTTTTTGATTTTGGATAGGGACGTTTCAAAGTATCGATATTTTTACAATATCGATATTTTTAAACTATGTATCGATATATTTTTTCGATATCGATATTTCATCTCTAATTTTATTTTTTTTTCTTCTTTTTCAGATGAAATCGTCGAGTCAACCAAAAACGAAAACGTAGTCGTGAAAAAACTGGACCTGTCTTCTCAAAAATCGATCAGAGACTTTGCCCAGGATATTTTGAGAACTGAACAACGGTTAGACGTTCTGTTACACAATGCCGGCACTGCTGAAAACAAAATCGTAAAGACTGAAGATAACTTGGAATTGACAATGGCCACCAATCATTTCGGTCCATTTCTACTAACCCACTTACTAATCGGTAAGTAATTTTGTTTAAATACCTATATCAATGAATAAAAATAATAGTAAGAAACGAAACTATACAGAGTGGTCCGAACTGTATTCCGGAAACTTCGGCAGCATATTCTGCAGATAAAAATAAGTAAAAAAGTTCGTATAAATGTATGTCCTAAAATGCTTAGTTTCGGAGAGAGAGAGTGTAGAAGTTTCATTTTTATTTCCATTTTTTCCCAATAATTTCTGAAATAACGTCAATATTTGTATGAAAATTGGTGTCTGAGTGTACTTTGACATGAGAAATTTGGTTTTGATGTCAATATCACTCCTACTAATAGAGCGCGCCACCTACATATTTTTTAACTGGTTTGCAGAGTAATAACTTTTTGTCCGTACCTGTATAAAACTACTAAGTAAAAAAATATACATTTACGACATTTTTTACACAAAAAAGGTCTCTTGGTAAAAATCGCTACGACTAATGGTTTTTGAGATATTTGGAATCGAAATTATCAATACCCGACATCATTGACATAAATTAAACATGTTGACTAAATAGTTATTAGACTGAAATCATAAATTTCCCAAATTTATTATTTCAGTGAAATAACTATCTACTCAACGTGTTTATTTTTCGTCAATAATGACATGTATTGACTATTAAATTTCTATTCTAAATATCTTAAGAACGGTTGCTCGTAGCGATTTTTACAAACAGATATTTTTTACGTAAAAAGTCACAGAGATGTATATTTCTTCGCTCGGTAGTTTTATACAGGTAGGGATAAACATTTATAACGCTTCAAAACTACTACTTCAAAACGCCCTCTACTAGTAGGATTCATATTGACATCAAAATCAAATTTCTCATGTCAAAAAACTCCAAGACACCAATTTTGATCCAAATATTGACGTTACTTCAGAAATTATTTAGAATAAATCGAAATAAAAATAAAACTTCTACACCCTGTATCTCCGAAACTAAGCATTTTAGGACATATGTACATTTATACGAACTTTTTTACTTATTTTTATCTGCAGAATATGCTGCCGCAGTTTCTGGAATACAGTTCGGACTACCCTGTATAACACTCTTATACTATTTTTATACTTTTGTATTAAGAGTCTCAATCTCAATCGACGCGACGACGCCATGAGTCGCCATTATTTTGCATTTTTTGACGTTTCATTTGACACGTTTAAATTTCATTTTAATTTTTGCAAATTTGATAGGCTTTTCTGCGATTATTTTGTGTTATTTTAGTTGCTTTAAAGCTATTTTATATACATGTTTCAGAAAATATGTGCCATCTTTCGTGGAAGATTCCCCACGTAAAAATAAAATTTATTTTTTATATCAGGGTCCAATTTTTCTTTGTTTCGAAGCTATAGGGGGTTAAAATCTTCATTTATTTTCTATTTGTTATACTTTCCTTCGAAGTGCTTTTAGTGATTGAAATGAAATTTTAAGCGTAAAAGCTGTGGAAAAGGTACTGTAAATGTTATACATTTTAGTATTTAAAGAGTACATAAGTAAATTAAGATTCACCAGGGACGTGCATATGGGTTATAACTGGAATATTTTTCTAAAGAAGAACATGTATCCCACTGTCTTTTCGTCATTGTAGTAGGATGTCGGTCGTCGTATGGCTCTTTCCTTCGGCCTGATGAACTTAATGCAGAAATTAGCACACTTGTAGGGGCTAAAAGATCTTTTTACGCTTCTGTATATTATTTTATTTTATATAGAACCTTACTTTGCTTTCAGCTCTACCTACGGTTACGTAGATGAAGCAAGCTTAAAAAATATATTATTTTATCTAGATTTGCTGAAAAGATCTGCACCATCGAGAATAGTGATCGTGGCCTCAGAGCTGTATCGTTTGGCCTCAGTAAACTTGAACAACCTGAACCCTTCAAGCTCGTGGTTTCCACCATACTTATACTACGTGTCCAAGTACGCGAATATTTACTTCAGCAATGAGCTGGCTAGAAGGTTGGAAGGATCTGGAATAACAACGAATTGTCTACATCCTGGTATGATTGATTCTGGCATTTGGAGGAACGTACCCGTACCGTTAAACTGGCCTATGAAGTTGATTATTAAGTTGTTCTTCAAGACTCCAGTCCAAGGTAACTATCATTTATTTAAATCTTTAGCTAAAAAAATACAAGAACCGATAAATATAACACCAGAAACCAAATTGTTACCAGTTGACACCAAAGCTACAGTTTATACCAAATAAACTTTTAGTCGTGTAATTAAGCTTGACCGGCACAGCGTTGCCCACTTTTATATTGTTACGGATTGCGTGGGTCCACTAATTTAAACTCACGATACCTTCACCAAATTGTCCGATTCGTAATAATTTAAAACGCGGTATATTCTGTGGTATATTCAAACTTCAAAACCGTCCATTGCCTATTACGCGGACTTATATACTCTACTGACTGTTTCTCGAACCTCTCTCCGAGAGCGTTCTACTTCCTACTGGAAAATTCCACCGCTGCCCGATTCGCTTTTGCACTTAGCAAAGAGATGACGACCTTCAACAAAAACGTCTTTCACTTTTTGGTAAATTCGCCATGTTTCTTGACACGTAGGCAGCCAGCAATACAGTTTAGTGCCACATACACCTTAACAATATATTTTCTTTTAATCAAAATATTTTAGGAAACAAAAATTAATTATAAATATATAAACAGTTATTATTTACATCAACAAAATTCACCTCCTTAACAGGACTTAAGGGACATAAAGTGCCATTACTACCGCTTTCCCGTTCAAAATATTCTAATAAAAATTTGCGATGATTTTTTACAGCTCTTAAGCTATCTTGTATAGTTCGCAGTAAAATATGTTCTAAAAACTGCAAGGTCTCCTAGTAAATATTTTCAAGCTTAAATACGTATCACAACACTATTTATTTAAACCAGAAACTCGTAATACAAATCTAAAGTCTCAAAACGAATGACAATGTCAGGAAATAAATAAATAAATGCGGCAACTTGACATTTTTTACAGCAGAGCTACCACCTGAATATCCAGCGGGAAATTTAAATTCCAGTTACTCAACACGGCGCCGAATATGGCCATGGTTGGCAACAATGAATTTAAAAATCGCGCTTTCGATAACGTAACTAAAAATTTAATTGATATGAAATATATTTGGCCAGTGCCGTGCCAAATAAAAATTGAAAATTTTAATTGTTTCACAAATATTTTTGTGTTTTTTATCACATATTTATGTTACGCGTTGATATCTTCTTTAGGTATTACTTTGTCTATTTATACGATTTATCTGAGTTAAAAGGTATTATCATTTATCTTTAAAAATACTATATTTTTGTAGGTTGTCAAACGAGTGTATATCTGGCATGTTCGGAGGACCTCCAAAACGTAACTGGAAAATATTTTATGGACTGCAAGGAAACTACTTTAAGTAGAGCAGCTATGGATATGTCCAAAGCCAAGAAATTATGGGAATTGTCAGAAGAACTGGTCAATTTGAAATCCTCAGACCCTAAAATTTAAATTCTGATCCCTTTTTTGAAGCTGTTTTATGTCAATTAAGTTTTTTTTTAAAATATCGACACTATTTTTTACGTGAAAAATAAATATCATTTATATTTTTTAATATTTGATTGAGCGAAGGTATTTCTAAAACAAAGCAACAAAAAAATATAAAATTTGCTTGACATAATAATTATTGTACTGAAATTTTAGTCTTAGTTTTATTAGAGTGATTGAAAGACACTTAATAAATACTATATTTTAAAATGCCATTGTCTTTTTTATTTTATTTAATTCTTTCATAACACACGTAATATATGAACTCGAAAAGTCTATAGCGTTTTAAAAAAATGTAAGGTATAATATGTACAACGATCGTTTAACGTTACGTCATCATTATCTATCTATAGCGAGGTCCACACGCAACGACTTATCGTACGATTTGCTTGCGTCGACAAAACATTGCAGATGAAACGTACAGACTAAACTATGTCTGTATTACAACGACTTGTCAGTCAGTGTTTTGTATTTTGTCATATCATCATGGAGAAAACACTGTTATGGTTAGTTTTTGTTATTTATTTAAATAAGTTAAATAAAGGCAAGTTAAATGTCTTCACTACGACTCTACTAGAATTTTTTGGGGTGTCTTTATTGTTCAGAAAATTTACTAAATTAAAACATTCATAGAGAGGGTTTATAAATATCTTCATCTCAAGCATCCGAATGAATAGAATTATGAATTATTAAGGTTCGATTAGGGTTCGATAATTCTTTTCGGTAAACGTTTGTCCTTGAACTTTTCAATAATAACCTGGTAGGCTTGATTTTTCTTTTCCCTCTCAGTGTATTTTTTTCTGGTCACTTTACTCAAGATAAACGTCTGATTTTGTGCCGTACTTTAACTGTCTAATATGTGACGTAACGGTCAACGATGCTTCTATAGACATTACATTACATTTAGTGATGATATAATAATTTTACTGAATATTTAGCTTAAGTTTTAATAGTTTTTGAAATAAAATATAAACAATAAACTAAAACGTACTTCTTTTATTTCATCAGTTACATTTTTTCTTAACATTTTAACACACTTTTTTGTCTTATTATATTTTTTTGTATAAGTATGCAGCAACACAAATCTTAGTCTCTTTCTTTAGGCTTGGCCATTTCTATTATTCTTGGAGTTGGTTTGTAGGTCAAAGCCTTCTTAGATATAGCAAACGGATCAAAATCTTCGTCTTCCTTTGACTTATCGCTACGCTGTTTGGGCATAGCTATTTCTATAATTCTTGGTGTAGCTAGAAAAAAATCCAGTTATTTAATAAGAGAGAGTACTAAATATTATACAGTGTCGGCAACAGAGAGTCTTGGGTCGGTATTTACATGTGTAGCAGTGAATCGCTATGGCGGTTGACTGCTAGAGATAACTTGCTCTTCTCTCTTAGTTCGGTACATCTTATTATACTGAACACATTGACTGTACTCTTCGTTCACACGAATATCGGTACCATAAGGCAAGCTTTACCGACCGTGTATGTATACTATATATTATAAACAACAATGGATGTCTGAGTTATTTTTTTTCAAAATATTATTTTATGTATTACCATTGTATCTAAGAGCACTCTTCTTAACTTTGCCTGGTTCGAGTGGTTTCGGTAGATTTAGAAGTCTTGGTGGAAGTTTGGCTAAACGTATGACAGTTTCTGTGGCTTCATACGTCAGAGCTGCCGGGTTAACCTGTTTAAAGAAATTCAGTATAATCTTGTATATGTATATAAGATATAAAAAGGAGTACGTCAATCCGTTCTGTAGCTAGGGACATTCGTAAAGGGGAAAACGAAATTCTTTGTTAGCAAGAAATACATGGGCGTGCAATAAATACTTTACATAACATTACTTATACAAAAATTTCAAAAATACCTAATCGATTTTATTTTTTCAACGTTTTTCCACGCGAATGAGACATAATACTTATAAAAATTAAAAAATTGAGAAGAAAAACAATAAAAAATTAATAAAATCACACAACTATTTTACCGATAACGACTGCACTGTTCTCCAAGCTCAGTCTACTACCATTTTAATCGATCTTTCTCGTAAAATATTAGACGATGCGTCCCGTCAATAAAAATTTGACAAATTTGTAAGTAACCAATGTAATTAGTGGGCGGAGTGTGTTTTGCGGTGACATACTCGTCAAGTCCACGTGAACTCTCTGCCGCTTGTATATAGGTAGTGATCTACATAATACAGGATATCTCAGGTTGAGCGTGCATTAGAAGTTTCTAGAGAACTACAACATCTAGCTCGCAGATTTCATAGTTTTACAACGAGATCTATCGATTAAAAGTATTTTCAGTATGGCGGCACTTCCGGAAATACCGGAAGTTGACAGTAACTTTCTTATTTTAAATCGGTGCCCTCATTTTTTATTACATACTTAAATTCTCTGTAAAATTTTATGAATTTTGATATTAAACACTCTATATCTGACATTCACCGTTTTTGAAAAAAATTATTTAAAATTTTTGAACGAAAAAAACTACCTGTCAAAAATATGTGTATAGCCTAAACGTCAAATTTAATAATTACCACAGCCACTGTGCCATAAAATGAAAACATCTGGCTATCTATTTCAAAAATTAAACTGTTCGAATGTCATATAATAATGGTCGCAGTAGTCATAGAATTGAGCGATTAAAAAATTATCATAAATCATTTTTTTCAAATGGAAACCCACTTTTCTATTTCACTAGTGAAAAGGCTTTTCAATTCGTTACTTTTTCACTATTTTTTTTTTTTGGGGGAAAAATCTGCAAACCAGAGACCGTAAGTGGTACTGTCGGGGTGGTTGAGGTACCTTACCGACTAAAAAACCTCCACAAACCGCTTTGAGTATCTCCCCAAGGAACTACCTTTCGGCATTACTTCTGGGGGAGGCAGTTTTATTGTGATGTTACAGGTAATTGAGCACTTCAGTCAAAGTTGGACACTAGCGAGTGTGGTAAGTACAAAGCAGTACTAGAGCAGTATGGTAAGTACACTCAAATTATTCTTCTTTTTTTTTACTTTCCAAACCTTTTGGCTTCGTTTTCCTTTGCAGATATCAGCGCCTCCATATATTCCCGGACTGCTTTCCAGTTCTCATTTGACTTAAGCATCGTTGGAACCAAGTTAGTGTAAGTTAGTTTCTCTGTATTTAGACTCTCCATTAATTTATTTCTTTCATAGGTCCACCTTTTGCATTCCAGGATTGTGTGCTCTGCTGTGTCGTTATCGTGGTCACCGTAGATGCATTTTGGACTATCGGTAAGTTTCATTTTATATAAGTAATTCTTGAAGCATCCGTGTCCTGATAAACATTGTGTCATAGCGTAGGTAACTTCTCCATGGCTCCGGTCTATCCAGTTTCTTATATGTGGTATAAGTTGTCTTGTCCACTGCGCTTTCCCGTCTACATTGTGTTTCCATCTGTCGCTCCATGTGTTCAGTATTTTTTCCCGGTTATACTCTCGCGATCTATCCGGACACGCCTTTCTCTGCATCCTCTCTTGTATTAGAAGATCTATCGGTATCATGCAACTAATTACTTCTGCCGCATCTGCTGATATAGTGCGGTACCCTCGACATATTCGCAGCGCCAATCGCCTTTGAACTGCCCTTAACCTTTCCCTATTCTTCTTCACTTCATTCACTTCACTTCATTCACTTTATATATATATATATATATATATATATATATATATATATATATATATATATATATATATATATATATATATATATATATATATATATATTATACCTAAAATAAATCGATTTTAAGTTATTTAAGATTTAGTTTTAAAGCGTATATTTTTCTTGATTTTAACCAGTAGCCTATGACTTTAAACGTCAAGTGATGTAAAACAATAGATCTGGCCATGTCATATTGTGACGCTTTGTTGAAAGAGCATCATCAGTTCCGAACCAACTTTACGCGGTTTTTTTCGATTATACGGAATATTATTAATAATATAAGGATAATATCAACTATTAGATATCACTAAAGAGCGAAAATACGAGATATATTTTTATAAACACACTTTTTAAACTCTTAAGGCAGGCAGTATTTAGTATTTATAATATAGGAAATTCAAATAATTTGTTTTCTGACAGATGGAAATAAATCGTCTGACCGTTTGACACTTAATGTCAAAGGAAGCTAGATAAAATCAAGAAAAATATACGTTTTCAAATTAAATCTTAAATAACTTAAAAACGATTTATTTTAGGTATAGGAACATATATTCAAAAAGTAACGAATTGAAAAACCCTTTCATTAGTGAAATACAAAAAGTGGGTTTCCATTTGAAAAAAATGGTTTAAGATAATTTTTTAATCGCTCTATTCTATGACAGCTACCGCCATTATTATATGTCATTTGAAAAATTTAATTTTTGAAATAGATAGCCAAATGTCTTCTCTTTAGGTCACAGTGGCTGTGGTAATCACTAAATTTGACTTTTAGGCTATACACATTTTTTTGACAGGTAGTTTTTTCGTCCAAAAATTTTAAATATTTTTTTTTCTCAAAAACGGTTAGTGTTAGGTATAGAGTGTTTAACATTCGTAGAATTTTACATAGAATTTAAGTATGTAATAAAAAATGGGGGCATCCATTTAAAATAAGAAAGTTCTTGTCAACTTTCGGTATTTCCGGAAATGCCGCCATATTGAAAATATTTTTAATCGATAGATCTTGTTGCAAAAAATCTCCGATCTAGATATTGTGGTTCTCTAGAAACTTCTAATGCACGCTCAGCCTGGGACACCCTGTATATTGCTCCTTATTCCAATGTGTTTTGTAGTAAATTAATCACACTTCAATATCGTCACCGCATCGATGTATTATGACACAGATCGAGTAGACGTACTTTACAAAATCCTAAAAAAACGAATATTTACCTCCAGAGATTTGGGCGTTTGCATGATACAAGGTCTTGGAGTTGCCAATGTGTCCAACCGGCCATAATTCGAGAATATTTGTGGTGGCTTTTTCTAAAAAATAAAAAATATCGAATTGAACTTATTTATTGACATTTTCCGGATAGATTTACTTACGGGTTTGATAGGTTCCGGTTTGAAGAGAGCTTTAGGCTTGGCAAGTTCATCATGTCTTTTCATGTCCAGTTCACGCTTTTTCTCTTTACCTGTAGCCTGTTTTCTTAATAACCTAAACATAAAACTATTTAGTTGATTTTTCGTAACTTATAATGATTTATGAACGTATAAGAAGTCAATGACAACTTTTTGTTTTGACATGAGTAATAACAAATTTTTTATTTCATACTGTATATATTGTAAAACAAACCTTTCTTAATTTTTTTAATGCATTATTACATTAAACTCTATTACCTGAGCTTCCTGTCTCTTTCCTTTTTCTTGTAATAATTATAAATCGAATCCCAGGCTTTATTAATGTTCTTAGTAATTTTTTTCTTGTAGTTTTTGCTGATGTTTTCGAAGTAGTGCTTGTTACAGTATAGACTCCTGTAATGAGAAAAACATTTTGTTTATATATAGAAAAAATCGCACAACTTTTCTTTGTTTCGATATTCTTTGACAACTTGTGTAATACATGGGATATATAAGTATTAGGGAGAATGAATATGTGAACATGCGCAGGGATAAAGTCCATCAAAAAGGCTCAAATTTCTAAAAATGTGTGAGTTGAACTAGTAGTAGTAAACAGAGCTGCAACAAGTCTGTTTTAAAAAGACTCAAGTCTTAAGTCATTTCTAAAATTAAAATGATTTAAGTCTTAAGTCAAATTCAACACTAAATTGAAATGAATAAGTTTAAAGTCCTTGACTTAAGTCCTTTTATTTCAAGTCAATTTTCAAGTAATTTTTGTGAAGATATAAATTAATACAACGTTATTTAAGTCGTTTTTATGACTTAAGTGTATATTTTTGACTTAAATCATGATGATCTGCAAGTTAACCCATTAACGGCCAAATTATTTTTTTTTCGAAATTGACTATTTTTTTTAGAGATTCCTAGTTCTTGTTATGTAAATTAACGTAGAAAAATATTTTTATGAAAATAAGTTATCAAGTTTTTCAAAAAACTGCTGTCCTCGTTTGAGGACGCTGGGATAATATGATATAAATAAAAACAAGAAAAGTTTTTGTATGTTTATTTTAATCTATATAAAAATAAGAGTTTATAAGCTACATTTTTGTAAAAAAGTAAGTGAAAGTCGTTAAAACAAGCAGGCATGCAAAGCGTTATATTACATTTTTGCCAAAATGTTCGTGGTTTTCCTTTGCAATTGATCATTTGACATCTTTGTATTTCCCTTTTGCCAATGGAGTGGTTTCTCCCGTCAAACTTTATTTCATCTGGTATAATTGTTTTTGATGTACTTGAAATCTCTTCCTTATTTGTTGATAACTCGAATTTATTTTTCTGTGTTCTAGCATATCGTATTGTTTCTAGCACTAATTCGTTCGTTTATCATCTTCATCGCTCAATTCTTCGACTTCTGGGGGCAATCAGCATCAATATGCTCTGAATATAAATACTCAACAGCATCTTCTAAAGTCTTGAAGGCCTTTCTAGACATAATTCTAAACAAAATCAGAATATCTGTGAATAACATTTGTTTTTTGTCATCAACAATACCTAAAGTCTAGTTAGAACAATAATAGGAAATAATCAAATTTTATACATACTACCGCCTAGCGTCCTCATTTGAGGAGAGTAGAATTTGGTTACACCCTGTACATAAATCATGTCTCTAATGCTTTCTTACGTATTATATTCACAAAACCTAACAATTTAACTACAAGAAAAATTAAATTCTAATACATACCTTTGTTTTATAAAAAAAATCCACCACACGTGAACCAAAGTGACAAAAAAATTCAACAAATTTGACGATATTTTAGTCCAAATACCTAACTACAGGACTTCGTAAAATGCCCTTAGAATCATGTTATGACTGGCACTAACATTCCCCGTGAAATTATTGTTGTTTTTTTCGACGGTGTTGAAGCTATCCCCACCTATATCAGCTGTCCTCAAATGAGGACGCTGGGCGTTAATGGGTTAAGTTAGTAAAATGACTTAAATCAATATAATTACCCTCAAGTCAAGAAAAACAGAATTCAATTTAAGTACTTTTTTTAAATGTTAATATTACTAAATCTAATTTTTATTGTTGTCGATCCATTAATATATAATGTGTTTTTTTTTAATTGGATTAGGACCGAAAGAAATCAACAGAAGTCCTTTGTTTTAAATTTGTCGACGTTTCGCAAAATTTATTTGCATCTTCAGGACAATTTAAATCTGGACTTTCTTAGTCATATCCATTAATACACGGATGGTATAGAGGGAAGTGGTATATATTATCCCTTTTTTTCTTTTAAAACACATAACACACTTACATTTAAAAAAACATAACATCGATATTAGGTATAGAGCATAGATTTAGGAAGAACAGATATCACATTTTGCATTTTAACCCGATCAAACAATCGGAGGTTGATTACGTACTGTAAAAACCAACTGAGATAGAGAAGGCGACATTGCCACATCTCAAATTTGCGCCTATCTACTTAGTTTGATTTGCAGAAAAGGTGACTTTAAAACCTTCACCGGATATCAATAAATCCCAATTTCTTAATTAAATTAATAGTTTATTTTTAAAGAAGCATAAGTAATAATATGTTATTAACCAGAGGATATATGCGTTACTGTTAAAGGACATGTTTACTGTTTAATGTGCTGAAACGTCTAGAACTATTGGCAACGTCGCTGCTAGTCTTCCAGATTGAAATGAGCCGTCCGTCCCACCACCCCTCGCGACGGCCTTTGGTCCGTTTTATCGTACTACGTTTAGCTTACGATGTGTTTGAAGTCGGAATCAAGTCCGAAGTGAACTTTTCACTGTTTTTCAGTAGTTTTTGCTTTTGTTTAACGTACTTTTGAATCTGAATTTTCAATATGGTACGACAGTGTCAAATGTGTGGAAAAATAAGCTCAAATTAAATTTGTCTTTTCACAGGTAGGTATTGTTTCCGCCGCGCCGTAATCGCCGTACATAGGCGTCCCACAAGGGAGCCTCTCACAATTAAAATAATTTCTAATTATATTTGTTGAATTTTGAGCTATTAAAACAAGAACGTAGTAGCCGGTAATTGAATTATAATTCGTCTCAATTACTACTGTGTAGGTGTTGTAGATCATAACAAATTTGAATATAAGCGTTGCATTTGAAACTTTATTATAAGCCAGAAAGTGACATGTTTTTTTCTTAAAATTGCGTCATATTTTGGTCATTATATACGATATTCTAAAGGAATTTTGCTCAACAAATAAACAAAGGTGTTTACCCGCCCTTTTTTACATTTTATTGCATTATTATATCTGCCCCTTCGGCCTCGTTTAAACAATTTTTTACCACCGTACAAATACCTCTTCCTAGAGTTATTTGTACGGTGTGTTTACCTTTTTTTTTAGAATGGGACGAACTGTAAATAATTCTTTGGCTACTAGTTATGTATAAAACTAGTAGCCAAAGAATTATTTACAGTTCGTCAAACCTATATACAGAGTGACCCAGGCCTCCAAAAAAGCTTTTTACCTATTACGTTTTTGGTTTGTAATTTTTATTTCAATTTTTTACATAAGATGGGGGCCATTGTAACGCACATTTTCAAAATATTTTTGTCAACATACAGGGTGATTCAAACCGCTATACATATGCTTAATACAGAAAATCAAGCTTCATCAGAAAATCAAATTTTAGTTAATGTCCCAATTTAACTAAAATTTGATTTTCTAATGAAACTACTTTAAAAGTAATGGATTTGTACATAAACGTAATATTCATTATTATGCGACAGAAATCCCATACTGTAGCACACAGATTTGATGCTTTTGATGATAAATGCTTTCTATTGAGAACTAAAAGGTAATTGCCTCGTATCAGAGCCATCATAATACAAGAAGAAGACCGAAAGTCAAATCTTATCTTATATTTTCAAAAAAAACACAATTTTCTCATTAAATATTGATTTTAGGTATAGGAAGTTATTACTACTATTACACAGTACTTTACAGGAAGCTATCGATTGCGAACTAACTAAATTAGTTACTAATTACTAATTTTAAAAAGTTATTTTTAAGATCAAAAAAGGTAAAACTAAAACCTAAATTATCATTTGAGATTAAACGGGAAGTTCTAAATAATGTTGCCTATTCTAAACAAGAAAAAATTATTTATAAGTTTTATAACATCTCTAATTAAATTTGGACGAAATTAATATTTCTGTTTCCTGTAGGTAATTTTCTCAGGGAAAATACGTAAATAAAAATGACCTTTTAAGTCAAAAAAGGTCAAAAGGACAAGTTATTCCAAAACAGGACTGTCCTTTTCAAAAAAGGACAGGTGGCAACCCTAGGTATTTCTGGAATGGAAATTTAATGGCAAATCTACAACTTCAGTTTGAAAATATGTTCCGGCCACCTATGTTTACAAAAATGTCTAAAATGTGCTTTATCATTGCCTCCATATTCTGAAAAAAAATTGAAAGAAAAGTCACCAACCACAAACCTAATATAGAACTGTTTTGGAAGCCTGAGTCACCCTATAAATGTTCAAAAGTAACTGAAAGTTTATATAGAATTAACTGAAAGTTTAAATTGAAAATCGACGTTGGAGCGATTTTCGAAAACTACCTACTGACGTTTCAACATAAGTATATGTGGGATATTAATTATATTATTATATTAGATCTTATAACAAAACTCATCTGACGAAAAGGTGTTAATGTAGTATATTAATATGGAGTAAACACTTTACTAATTACTTTACTTTTACTTTACTAATTAAATTCGTTCCAAAAAACGATACGCCACTGGCCATTAGAACAATCCAAATGCGCCTAGTTGCCGGAAATTTTAGACTTCTCTGTCTCTTCTGTCCTTGTTTGACACATTGGAATGTTTGATACACTACCAACGAGTATTTATTAATGAGATGTTCGGTCTATATTTATAATGTCTTTGGTATAGAGAAATATCACGAATTTTTTTTCTTTTCACAGACAAGCAGTGCAGATATACCAACGTTGACCGTATACAGAGAGTTGCTGTCTGCGTTAAACCTAAACGGACACCAAACGTTAAGCATTTTTTTCTTTGTTAGGCAAATTTTTATTACTGTAAACATAACTTCTGACAAGCAGTGTCCGTTTAGGTTTAACGCCAGAAGTGTTTACAAAAAATAACTATTTTATTTTGTAGATTTTTCTTGCAGTGCAGTGGCGAAATACCCATAAAGGATTTTTTTGGAGAGATGAATCCGCCACATAGGTATAGACATTTTTTATTACTTTTCTTGAAATTTTTTTTTTCTTCTTTTTCCTAAATTTAAAAAAAGCGTCCATTATTCTCAAAGAGACCTGGTTTAAATTAAAAAGAAGTAGGTATATAAAGACTGAAAGTCTCGGTCTATGAACGTGTGAGTTGATGGACTTTTATTGTATTTGTGTCACTGTGTACAGGGTGGGTCAAATTCGACGCTTTTAAATGGAAACACCCTTTTCTATAGGAGATAGACGATCGGTGTCTGGAGCACAATTTTCATCAAAAACATGATGGTGCAAACCGCACATCAATATCTGTTACAGTTTCGGAGTTACGTGGTGTTTTTCAGAAATGTGCATTTTTAACAAATCGCTGTAACTGTTGTGCTATTGAAAATTTTGTAATTCTATGAAAACATTTCCAAAGCACCTTTTTACGTAGAATTTAATGGTTTAAGTATAATTTTTTTAACATTAATAATTTAAGAGTTATCAACAGAAAAATTGATTTTTTATTTGGGACACCCTCTATATTTTTAATTAACTGAAAAGAATTTAAAATTACCTTTCCAAAAATATAGCACACTTGATATTTTGTTATAATCCCCTTCAAAATACAGAATTTTTAAAAGTTTGCCACTTTTAACTAGTAGGCTTTGGACCCCTTATTGATGATATGTCCTTAATGGAACTCGAAAACATATTTTTCCAGCAAGACGACGCACCGCCTCAGAACGCTGTTATCAGCAAATTTTTGCAGCCAATTTCAAGAATAATTGAATAGCTAACCAAGATCCCAGCCGCTGGCCGTCGAGGCCGCCTGACTTAGTGCCCATGGATCTAATCCTATGGATATATTTGCGGAAGAATAAAGGTTCCTTATTCTTCCGTATAATCTAGACAAGAATTAGAAATACTTAGCAGTTACTTAGAGAGGGTATCTTTCACCCCCACTGAGTTAATGAAGAAATGTCCAAAAAGGGCCCCGTCTGTCCATAACAGAAGACGGTCGATATGTCGAACACCTGTAGCAAATTCTCATGTCTTGATTTGCTATTTATTTTTATTGTTATCATATATATTTTAAATGTGTTGATGTTGATTAAATATATTTTAAATTGTTATAAAATTCTGCATCTCTCATAGCAAATATTATTTTCGTTTTAATTGATGCTCAGCTAGAATTTTTTTGCATTACAGCCGGTGCCATTCAAAGCCTACTTATTTAAAGCGGGCGAATTTTTATATACCCTATATCTCGAAGAGGAATCGAGCAACATATCAAGTGTGTTATATTTTTGGAAAGGTAATTTTAAATTCTTTCAGTAAATTAAAAATATACAGGGTGTCCCATATAAAAAATCAAATTTTCTATTTATAATTCTTAAATTATTAATTTTAAAAAAATTATACTTAAACCATTGAATTCTACGTAAAAAGGTGCTTTGGAAATGTTTTCATAAAAATGCAAAATTTTCCATAGCAAAAAAGTTACAGCGATTTGTTAAAAATGCATATTTTTGAAAAACACCCCGTAACTCCGAAACGGTAACAGATATCGATATGCGGTTTTCACCATCATGTTTTTGACAAAAATTGAGCTCCAGACACCGATATTAGTTTTTGTCTATCTCCCATAGAAAAGGGTGTTTCCATTTAAAAGCGTCGAATTTGACCCACCCCGTACACGTGTCACTATTTAACTTAATATAAACGTTGAGACCAAGACCAAGAGTCTTTTTTATACTTCTTTTCAAATGATATAAGTAATTAAAATGATTTAAATCAAAAAAAGACTTAAGTTTTCTGTAAGCTTGCAGCTCTGACTGCAAAACCAAGACCAAGATCAAGACCAAAAAAGTCTTGGTCTTACGAATACATAAATCACTAAATATTTTAAGTCATATTTACCTTAAGGGTGGTCTGGATATTTGATCTGAATAATACTGGATCTCATCGCTCAACCTTTTCAGCGGTATCTTTCCTGCTTTAATCAGACCTATCTCTCGAGGAACATACTTCCTGATCGGCATCTTGGGTTTCGCCAACTGATCCAGTCTCCAGTTGTACTTGTATTTCTTCATTATGGCCAAGAGTTTGGGCGGTATTTTCGGACCGCTGGGCGCAGCGGAAACGGGTGGTGGTACTGGTGAAACTGAGATGTCCACGTGGACGAACTCATTGTCCGGTGGGTGTTGCTGCATGTTGAAAATGTTGGTTTTGCCGAACGGAGAATTTTGAGATGTGTTGACGAAAAAGAAATTTTGAAATTTTGAATTTTTTGACGTAGGGATTGTTGAATACCTTTCATTGTTTTACCTGAAATTACATTAAAAAAATTAAACTGTTAAATATTCGATATGTTTATATAAAAAATCCTTAATTTCTTTTTATTTATAATGAATTATGTTGGTATATGTGCAGGTATAGAGAATTAGAAGAAATCAGGCTTATGAAATACTTAACTGTCAAGAAGATTATGATTTTGACGTATGTTTGAATCAAATCGAAATTTTTAGTATTTTTAGCCCCAATGGAGAGAACATTTCAGAAAAATCCTCTAAAGGTAAGACTGAATCTTTTTTAACTTCAGTACATATTTCATAGTTTCAGAGGTGTTACAAAAAAGAACTTTTATTTTGTAGACATTTTGTAGACTTTACTTTCAGCGGCGTTTCAAGAAATACAAAATATATAATACCATATGATCGAAAAAAAAATGGCGTCAAAGATGTCTGAGGAATGAAAATCGATGATAATTTTAGCGAGGTCAAGCCTTAGACATTATTTACTTGGCCCATACCTTTGTGTATTTTTAATGGAGCTTACTACCAGTTAAAGCCTTAAGAAGGTTGTACTTTATTTTTATATAGAGCAAAAATGATTTTTTGGAATTTAAAATTCGAGAAAAAAAATATTTTTTTTAGAAGTAGATCTGTGTATCCTTTTATAAACTTTCTATAATTAGTGTTAACTCTCTTTTGACAAGTTTTATATCGATTTTCAGTAAATAGCTTATAGAGCTCAACCTCTCCAAAATTATCATCGATTGTCATTCATTTAAAATAGAGGGCTATACCTTAGAACAGGTCTACAAGTTCAAATATTTGGGGTCCTGGATAGTTAACGCCTTGAACAACGACGTGGAAATAAAAACCAGAATAGAACAAGCGAGAAATGCATTTTTAAAAATGAACGTTTTCCAGAATCCCAGACTGGACCTTGAGTTAAGAACTAGGCTCGTCAGGTGTTATGCTTGGTCAATCCTATTATACGGAGCAGAAAGATGGACACTGAAAGTTCATCGAGATGAATTGCCTCGAATCGTTCGAAACATGGATATATCGAGGAATGCTTAAAATTCCATGGACAGTCCGTATCACAAATACCGAAGTTTATAACAGAATAGGCAGAGAAAGAGAATTGCTCAATATAATAAAAATAAGAAAAACATCGTACTTAGGGCATATATTGAGGAATGAAAAATACCACGTCGTACAATTAATAGTTAAGGGTAAAAATGAAGGAAAAAGAGGTTTCGGCAAGAAGAAACTATCTTGGTTGAGAAACATCAGAAATTGGACTCACCTAACTTTTGAAGAACTCATAAGGAAAGTCGAGAATCGTGAAGATTTTGCCAATGTGATCGCCATGAAAGAGACGGCACGTAAAGAAGAAGAAGTCATTCACCAATCGTCTTTGACGCCGTTTTTTTTCGATTATGGTATTTTTGAAAAATTATTTTTATTTTGATCACTTTATCAAACTGTTCATATAGTAGTTGGCCTAAAGATTAAAATAACTCTTTTTTTTTTAGAAAAGAACTGTTCCAGTAGCAGATTCTGACCGTATCAACCAACTGGCTGAACCAAAACACCGAGTAAATCTTGATGAAGAGTTTTCTAGAGAATTAATTGAGAAGAAACCACATATAAAATACAAAGGTATAATAATTTAGCTCTAAAAGCTCAAAGAGAAATATGTAAAAGTAGAGGCATCGATTACTCAGAACACAGAACACGATTGACTATGTGCACACGGGTTAAATGCATTTCAGCTTGGCTGAAATTCACCTATTTATCGCGCATTTATTGATCGATAAGTTTTGAATGTATCAAACTTTTTCGATTCAACTGAAATTGATCAACTTAAATCAAAAACTATCTTGCTTGATCAATAGACATCGTTCAACTAAAATCGACTCGCCAGAACAGGCCTTTATTGTGATTTTTGAATGATATTGATGGTTGTTTTTCTAGCTTCAAAAAGAATACAGAGCTTAGCTAAACCAAAGCACGTGGTGCCTAAGAAGATCGATAGAGACCCTACGAGTGACTTGAGTAAGTCTATTACTAAAGTCAGCCCTAGCGCCTTGACGTATCAAGCGTCAAGGAGAATCATGGAACTTGCTAGACCCAAATAAGTTTTTTTCTATAAAGAATGCTTTCAATGTGACTAAACATATAGAAAAATACAAATATAAATCAAAAATTATCTTTTTTTATTTTAAATATTGTCAAAAGTGAAAAGTTTTTTGACCAATGAGAAATTATACGAGTACTCTTTCTAGATAAGTTTCAGATAGTATTTTTTCGTCAGTCAGTGTGACAGTCTATGGAGGAAATAAAGACTAAAATTTGATGTCATATGGAGATTCTATATTTATTTAATTGAAAAATACATATATTATGTTAATAATTCTAAATAGAAAACAAATTTCTTGCAGTATAGGTATATAATAAAATTATATAAGGATTCTTGCCACTTAACTGCTGTTATAGAAATTTAATTTTACGCTGTGTTTGTCATAATGTGGATCAACCTGCTCTCACTACTGGTTTCGGAGCCCTACTCCATCATCAGGTGAGCTTGGACAGATCCACAAAATAACAACCAAAGCGCAGAGATAGTTGTGGTTTTCATTTTGTTGTCAACCACATTTTTGTTGTCAACCACACCAAAATCATTTTGTTGTCATTTTGTTATCAACCACACAAACTCATTTTGTTGTCAACCACAGCGTTGTGGTTGTCATTTTGTGGATCTGCCCAAGCTCACCTGATGATGGAGCAGGGCTCCGAAACCGGTAGTTAGGGCAGGTTGATCCACATTATGACAAACACAGCGTAGAATTAAATTTCTATAACAGCAGTTAAGTGGCAAGAATCCTTATATAATTTTATTATATACCTATACTGCAAGAAATTTGTTTTCTATTTTATAATTTGGCTTGCCTGAAAAAAAGCCTTTTACCATCCTTTTACTATTGATAGTTGCGCCTCGGTGGTACGAAAGTACTACCATTGCACGCAGGCCGCTATCTCCCGTTCGGTACTTAATATCTAACCGATACTTTCCGACAAGTCGGAATTAACTATCTCTGCGCTGTGGTTGTCATTTTGTGGATCTGCCCAAGCTCACCTGATGATGGAGTAGGGCTCCGAAACCGGTAATGAGAGCAGGTTGATCCACATTATGACAAACACAGCGTAGAATTAAATTTCTATAACAGCAGTTAAGTGTTATAACAGCAGTAAGAATTATGTATTAATTATTATTATTAATACATATATTATGTATTTTTCGATAACATAAATGATTGAAAAAACAAATTGAAAAGAAAGTTTTCAATAAAAAATGGCACAAAGAACTTCTTATTTGTCTTATCGTACATTATATTGACAAATATATCAATGAAAAAATCTTTCATCATGTTTATTTGAAGAAAATGGTATTTACCAAGGCAGAACATGGCAAAATAAATAAATATTGAGAATGGTGCTTTTGTTAAACAACCTTTTTCTTTCTACCTCTCTGTATATATACAGACGAATCTTTTGTAACTGTCATATTGCTAAGATTTATTTTTGAATTTTCAAATATTATGTTTTTTTTCTCTTCTGTTTTATAATAAAAATGAAAATAAAATAGGAATTTTCTAAAATTATAAAATATCAATATTTTAAGTTTCCCATGTCTTTCATATGTTTTTTTCCTATACCGCTTTATTTCTATATTTTACTTTACCCTGTTATAAATGATATAAACAATGCCAATTTGTTTTGGATTTAAGCCATAGGAAATCCGCATTCCTTGTCTCTATGTCTCTCGAATACCAGAATACGAGTTATATTTCATGTTTCGGTATGCAGGAATAAAATTTGTTTTCAAATTTAATGCTTTCTATCAAAAATACAGTCTTGAGTCTACGCAAGGTATTTTTTTTTGTAAATAACTTTAAAAACTGATTTATTGAATTATATCGATTTTCTCAAAATAACCAAATTATATGCTGTGAAATTTATATTTATGTGAATATATTTTTTCAGTTACTAAATTAAGCAAGCTGATGCTATCATATCCCAAATACAAAACGTTGATTTGGAACATTAGTCTTCCTTTTTTTGGAAGATAGAAACGAAAATGGAAGTGAAATTTTAATATTCAATTAAATTTTTTTTACTCAATATTAAAGGGTCGTTCTATGCAGGAAACAGTGCGACCTGTAAGGCCTATTTTGTTTGTCCCCTTTCTATATCTGCAACCAGTCTTCTATTCCTGTACCCTGTATCAGATATATTACTCGAGGAAAGGGGACACAATAGATATTTAATGATTAACCCCCCCCCCCACCAGGGTACTCATTCTACTCTAACACACCAAATCTCGCTTTTTTATCTGGAAAAATAAAAAAGTTTTAGGGGTGAGTCACTATTAAGAAACACTCGGTATAGTATAAAATAATAAAAAAATTCTTGGGTAGGTACATAATGGAAAGAAAGAGTAACCACAAATACTATTTATTTTCTGGGAAAATCTTATAAATATATTGCCTCGCAGATATTAAAATTTATCGCTCATTTTAAGTATTTTTATATTCAGACCGTATGAACCAGCGGAAAGGGAGCTTAGAAGCGTGAAGAGAACTATAAAATATAATGAGATAGCCGTACTTTACGAGAGGTGAAAATCCGCACACAAATCACAATAGCACGTTCTAAATTACGAATTATTTTTCTCTTGTATAAACATATTTTCGCTTACTTTTTCGTCCATTTTCTATGAGAAAATTAGAGATATTTATTCAATATAACGTTTATTTTATTATTTCTTTTACAAATTTATAAAATTAAGTCTAATTGAAAAAGGATTTTGAATTTCCATTGACTTTACTTAAATAACTTACGCCAACATTTCAGTCAAATGTATTACTGACCTTTTTTAAGTAAGTGTAAACAATACTAAATCTTAAAACAACAGATCTTATTATATTATCATTTAAAATATAATACCAAATAATA